CCCGCTGCCTGCTCCTGGCGACAAGTGTGGCTGCCTGTGGATCTGCGTCAAATCGGAGGCCGTATCTGTATGCTTCAGTGCCCTCGTGACTCTACTTGCAGAGCCATTGCCCAACTTGCCCTTTCCGCCCAATCCTTGCAAACTGAGGTCGACCTTCTCCTTGCTCGATGCCCGTGGGGCTGGTTGACTCTTGTGTCCCAGCCCCTTTTCTTGCAAGATGTTGACACTCTGCAATTCCAGCTCGGGCCGTCTACGGGAGCGCTGGAAGGGCCTATAGGTGCCTCACTTGACCCTCCACTGTCACTGTTTTCGACCATGCAGGTCAGTTTGCCCTCTGCTCCACTCAATCAAGAGGCTTTCCCAGGTCACTCACACAACCAGGCCATCCTCATCACCCCGAATGGCCTGGTCTATGTCGAAGCCCCGGTCTTTGCGGACGCAGCCACATTTAGGCGCATCGTCTCGACTCGGGCCTCAGCCAGTGCCACTGGAGGAATCATGCGCATTTGGCATCCTCTCCCTTCCCTGCCACTTGTCCAGTTTCTGGAAATCCACTGCGTGGGCGACGAAGTGCCGTGCATTTTGGATTTCCGGCCTGTGGGGTGGCGTCTTACTACGGTGTGTCTTACCCCGCCAGTCACCGCTGTCGCGGCTGTTTCAGCTGCCTCGACCCGGGAACGTAATAGCCTCCCCCTTGAATGGGTCGAACAATGTGCTAGAGGGGGTTTTGGTCTGCTGCACAGGGAGTTGGCAGTTCTTCCTGATCAGGTTATTTCGGGGAGTTTTCCTCTTGTCATCATGTTCTTCCCACATGTGTTCCGTCAGGACTCCTCCTCTTCGTCGGAGGAGCAGGTTGGAGGCTGGGATGGCCAGGATACGTCAGACACCATTTCGGCGCTTCAGCATACCCTGCTGCCTTCACCTGCCCGCGCTGCCACACTTCCAGCATGCACGGGGATTTCGCCTGAAGCTTTCCTGGCTCCCTCAGGTTTAAGCCCCCCAGAGCCGGCTGCCGAGCCCAGCTCCGCCGGGTCAGCTGTGGTGTCTTCCGCTACGTGGATGCAGCACATCCTGATCGGCCTCTGGCTCACTCATGACCTTCCGCTCGGCCGCGGGGCACTTTCTGTGTGGAGTTTAACTCCCCTACTCCTGTTAGTGTGGTCTAGTACCGCTGTTCAGACCCGTAGTGAGCCCTCTTCCCCTCATGCCTTTGTCGTTGCAGCCTCCAGAGCCCCCGACCGTCATGTTGTTGCCCCCGCGGGGGTCCACGCACATCTCCAGGCCTCTTGGCTTCAAGTTGGGGACTTCGGTGATGGGACGCTGTGGCAGACGATCCCGCTCTCAGGGGTTAGCTTTTCTATCACTTGCCGGTTGTGGGTCCCGGGCTCCTTTGTTCGCCTTGAGTTCGCCAACACTGCTAGTGCCAGAGAGTCCTCTGCGGAACTCTACCGCCGAGCTATCCAGCTCGGCCGCCCCCACATCGTTGCTGCATCTGCGGGACCTACACTTGATGCGGTCCACTTAGTCACCTTGCCACCTAGGAGCTCTACGTTGACCGTGCTTTTTGATGTTGGGGTTGAGATCGTATGCGTTGAGCTTCCCCTTGATTATTCTGCCGAACAGGTCCTGGCAGCCGCGCAAGGTGCAGCAGATTCGACCGACATTCAAATCCTTAAGGGTTCGGCCCATAGGCTTAGACAGGGCGATGTTGTTAAGGTTGTGGTTAATTCCGCTGCCCAAACTTTTGATGTCTCGGCCTTCACTCTGCCACATAGTGCCCCTTCTGCGTCCCGATGGTTGCATGAGACGCGTGTCGTCTCCCTGCTTCACTCAGGAGAAGGCGTCCTCTCCTTTGAGGTGCCTCGTGCGGCTGAGGTCGATTCCGCCCTTCTTCATGCCCTCCTGCGGCAGGTCCTGCCTGGGAAGCACATTTTCATCGAGATTCCCGATACCGGGGCCCTTCCCCATGCCACGTTTGCTGCAGTGAGTTCGGGGCAAGACTGCATCATTTATCGTCTTACTGACGCCTCTGTCCCGACGGCCCCGGGGCTCTTTCTTGCATTTTCTGGAGTATTTGACTCCTTTTCTGCCTTCTTGGAGAGTCTCCTCAGCAGTGGGCGGCCCGCCGCCGGGCTCCTCCGCAGCCTGCGCACCTTTGGTCTCTCTGTGCTCACCTGGGAATGCACCACCATCCCTACCCGTGACGACTGCCACTTCTGGTATGTCCATGTGCAAGCCGACTTCGCGCGGGCGCGGCGCCACGCTGTGCATTTCTTTGGGCACCCCCCGCGCCATTCGGCAACCTTCTGTGCTGCCCCCGCCTCGGGCGAGAGCTGTTACACATGTGGGTGTTCAAACCAATGCCCCCTTTATCACGGCTAGCACCCAGGCCGCTGTGTTGCAATCACCCCCGTCCTCATGTGGGGCAGGAGTTGTGCCAGATTCCGCGTCTGAGCTTGTTAGCCTGTGGTGTGATTCTTGGCACATTAAATGTATCGTAGCCTGCATTCCAGGTTTCACTGTCTGGGCACTGAGGGAAGGCGGCCGCCTTGTTGGAATGTGCACTCCTGTCCCGACTTGGGAAGCTGTTACTCGAGCACTTTCCCTCTCTCTTTGGGAACTTCCCCAGACCTTCCTCTCTGATAACAATCAGGTCTGGCCGTACCCTCGGGATCTTGCGGACGTCACCAAGAAGTGCGTTAGTGTAGGATATGATTCGCCCGAGGGCGTTTCGCAACTGCTGCGTCACTGCACAGCACCTTCCCCCAGCCCACCGCCCTCTCCCCCTGCCTCTCATTCCGCTGCACTTGGCTTAGCTTGTCTTAGTAAGGGTAAGCCTTGGCTGGGGTTTCTTCTCTTCGCTATGCAAGCGGGATCTGTGCAGCTCGCGATCACGTCAACTGCCCTCACTTCGCGAGTGGGAGCCGATGATCCTCTGCTTCCTCGGCGAGACTATACGCGGACCTGCACCCTCTCCTGGACTCATGAGCTAGGGCGTCAGACTTATGGCTTTGCGGTTGCCGCCCCTCAACTCGGCGCCTATGTGGAATGCACCTCGCCGTGGCCTGAGGTCCAAATCCATTTGTGGTTGCCAGGCCAAGGTCCGGTTCACATGCGAGTCGGTGCCCGCCACATGGACATGCACCTCAGCGCCTACTTGGGTGCTTTCCTGCCCGATTGCGAATACGGTCTTCATGTTGCGTACGACTCCAACCCTCAGGTCCTAGACCTGGTCGTCGCGCCTCCTTCTCCTGTGGCGTGGTGGATCCTGAGGGACTCTATTGGGTGCGAGTTGCTTCGGCCGGTCATCCAGCACTATACTTCGCACTGCTCCTTTTTCTTCTGCACAGTCGAGCCCGACGGTGTTGTTCTTAGTGTTGAGCCCTCAGCCGAAGTCCGACAAATGTCTCCGAGCCCGCATGGGGCTAGAGCTTTGATCTCGCGTGCCCTGCCCGGCCTCATTGGTCAGGTGATCGATGGCACGCTGCTGATTGCTGCAGCTAAAGCAGGACCTTTGGTTCTTGGTCACCTTGCAATGCTCTTGTTAACTTTTCATGCGGCTGCGATGCAACCACCGCAGGCGCAGCAACTAGTACCGGTTGCTGAGGTTGCTCCCACACCGTCCACCATGCGCATCTGGACCTTAAATGTGCCGCAGCCAGTCGACCTGCCTTGGCGTCCCCAAGGGTATCAGACCCGGTGGCTCCGTGAGTTGATGTGCCGTCTCCACCATATTCCGGATCCGGGGGAGTTCCGCTCCACTCACTCCCAGCAAGGGGGTACTGTTCAGCACGTTCTCTTTGTGCCTGTCGTACCTCCAACCCTTCCTACGGCCAGGTTCTGGCTCCTCCATTGGGGCGCCGCGGCGGTCGTTACCTTCGGTCACTCGCCCTTCAATTGGGAGGTTGTCTATGCTCACCTCCGCACTCTGTTTCAAGGTGGCCAATTGCCGGAGCGGTGCCCCACACTTGCTTATGCTGGCCAGTTCTATGCCCCTGGCACGGTTTTGCCGGACTTCCCCTCGGGTGCTATTATCCAGATTTTAGTCGGGGCCCTGGAGCGGCTACCTGGTGACGATGACCCCTGGAACCCGGAGCCTTTCGTTGTTGAAAGTCCTTACTTTCGTCACATTCCCAGTCGAGGCCCTGCGCTTGAACCGGCCATTGTTCTGGATGGTCATGGCAACAGGTTGGCTGCCGGAGCTCTGCAATCCCCTCTGGTCGATCAAGGTGTTCAAACCGACCTTTCCGGAAATGGCACTGGCCTTGATCATGCCACTGTCTCCAGGGTGCATCACCTCTCCCAGTAGCTCTCGTTCCACACTGCTCGGCTCTGGGCCGGCCTCGCCGAGCCTGATGCCGAGCCGGCAGGCGACAATCCACCTGTCTTGAGACTCTCCTCCCAGAGTGCATGCGCGGCTGATACCTCTACGGCTGATCTTTTGGATCTCTGTGATGCAGCAGGTTCTCAGGCTGTGTGCAGACTGCCGTGGGCAGCTTTGCTTCTTCTTGGCGTTCAGGTGCCTCGCGCCCTTGGGGCGGTTGGGAGTCTTCTTGTTCTTGCTACCCTCAACTCGGGGTCCATCATTACACCACCGCAGGCTAGCTCCGAGGAAGAGCAGGTTAATGATACTGCCCCTCCGGCTGTGCAGGCCACTAATATGTCAGCGGCGGACTGGGCCCCCGCACCCGTTGTGCGACCAGCCGGCCCTCCCCCGCCAGAGCCGGTGAATGCTCCCTTCCAACCTCACATGATGTTTCTTCGCGCGGCGAGGCCACTTGAGGATTATGCCTTGAGACAATGGCCCTCCACGGTAGATAGGGAACCTGCAGCCGATGAAGATACGGTGCGGAGGGTCCAGGCTGACCTCCAAGGCCTTCGATGCGGGATCCGAACACTGGCAGCCGCGATCCCACTCGGCACGCCCTTTTGCATCCATAACCCGTTTACCGCACGGCAGCAGTGTGAGTTGGTCGAGTATTCAGCGGGCCCCGAAATTAACCCCTTCGTCCTCTTCGAGGGTCATGCTAGAGGCCGCGGCTGGGCAGGTCTGGTGCTCCTCCAGCCCCAGCCCGATGCCAGGGCAGTTCATCTCATTGGCTGTCCTCAGGCGGCCGGTAACGTAGCTGTAGGGGTCGCTATTGAGCACCGCTTAATTCCCTGCTGCCTCCCCGCGACTGTTGATATCGCTGCCCTCAGGGCCCTGCGCTTGGATGGCACTGAATATGACCTTCGGCCGCCTGAGGTCCAGGAAGGCACACAGGTTGTCCAGTTTAGGAACGGCGATTGCCTCTCAGCTAGGCGGCATGTTCCCCGTCGGTCCCACCAAGGCCAAGCTAGCAGGGATCCTGCTGCTGCTAGAAGAACGGTGAGTGCGGGCGAGCGCGATGCCAGCCCTGCTGACGAATCCGCAGCCATAGCTGCCTCACCATCTCTCTGGGCCTCTCTTTTACTCGTGCAGGTCCTTCGCAGCCGCCCTGGCTCTACCTGGCTTGTTGCTGCCATTCTACCCAGCCTGGTCCAGAGTATGCACAGACCTGGAGGCTTCCCATGGGGGACCGACTCGGCGAACCGTGTATTCTCAGGGATAACTGCCGAGGATCCAGTCTATGTAGTCCTGCATAGTCCCTTCTTAGGGGTTTTCCCTCCCTACACGGCATCTCAGGAGACCCCCCACTCGCAAGTCTGGGCGCAGTTCCGCAATGATGACCCGGGTTGGGCGGAAGACTTCTTCCCCGTTTGGCCGGGGCCGGCATTCAATGAACTTTCTATCGTCCCAATTGGACGTGATCCAGCTTTGGTCACTTTGATGCTTATCTGGCGGGGCCACCACCGGGCCACACTTGTTCCCCGCACGATGACCGTGGACTGGATTACGTCCTTCACGGCCAGACATATCAATAGTGCTGTCGGGGGTGTGTCTCTTCCCCACGGGCTTGCCGTCTGCGAACTTTTTGATGTGCCACCTGCCGCGTTTAGGTTCCGCAACGGGGACGTCGTGTATGTACATGATCCACCAGATGACCCCGATGAGCCACTTGAACTAGTGGAGCCCTGGCATCTACAGGATGGTCTGGCTGCACATCACGCCCCCTGGGCGGTCGGATTTCAGCTCATGTTCCCGATTTCAGTCCATTTGCTGCGACCTGAAAAACCGCCCTTGCTCACCACTATACCGGCCGGCGAATCTTGGTGCCCTGAAGCGTTCTCCTTTTCCGGCGAGTTCCAGCACCATTTCCCGGGCATGTGGACACCTGTCCAATGGACGAGTGCCCGTGCCCTGCAGCTTATTGAGGTCAACGGGGTCGCTGCTCGAGTCAATGTTGTCGCGGCCACGCCAGAGGGTCGACTATGCCGTACTGTCGACCGCATTGCCTCTCGGCACAGCGTTGCTGACCAGCTCCACTTCTGTCCAGATTCGATACAAGTTGGCGGAGTGCCTGCGTATGCCTTGGACCAGGCCTGCGAACTCAGGAACGGTGATGTGGTGTTTGGGGCATTCGATCGGAGTGCATGCCCTCGTAGCCCAGGCTCCCCGAGCTGGTGGCTCGGTGTGACCCTCACCACCTTGCATCTGAGCCAGCAGCGGCAGACGCGTCTGCCTCTTCTTGTGGGTTATACCCTTTCATACCACGCTGGTCTTAGCGACCCATATGCCATCACTCCCTTTCATGCGCCTCACACTGCCGCTGCACCTAGCTGCCAGTCGCTAATCGGAGGGTCCTCCTGCTCTGCTGACGAGGACCCTCCCTGGAGTGGCATGGCCCTGGGCTGCGCCTCATCTGCCATAGGTGGCCCACAGTCTTGGTGGCGGGGCTCTCTTTGCTGCCCCATCCTTCCTGGTGTCTCGGCCGCCCTCCTGTTTCCCGGCCTACGCGGCATTGCCCTTCTGGCGGCCTCCGCGTGTATCCCTGCTTCTCAGGCCATGCTTCAACAAGCGTCCGCCTCGTCAGCCACTGTCCCGGCTGCTGCAGCTCCTCGCGTCACTGTTACGGTTGCTAACCCTTTTGCCCCTTGGAATCGGGTCGAAGCCGACCCGCGCCACCTCTTTGACGATGTCGTCGCTGATGCGCATCACACTTTAGCATCTTGGCATCAGGGTTTTGCAGCTACGGGACTTGTGCTGGACAGCACCCAGGTTGTTGTTCCCTTGCCCGGGCGTCGCTTGGTCTGCTTGTTGGTGCAAGGCATGGGTCAGCTGTTGTGCGTTATTCTGCCAGCCTTCATGACCCCGCGGGATCTCACGCAAGCCATTCAAATGCGACTTGGCAAACGAGTCAGCGTCAGCCTGCTACCTGGACTGGCGGCTACTGTCCGTGCCAGCCGTCCGGTCCTTGCTCTGAGATCTGGGGATATTATTGCTATCAGCCCACTTCAGCTTGACCCACTTGCCGGGCCGCGGAACCCACCTGTCTTTCTAACATGGGGGGCTGCTCATGCTGCGGCCGCGTGGCGCTCAGACTTTCTCGTTGCTCAGGCCTCCTGTGTTCTGCTGTGGTCGCCTGGCCGCCCTACGCGAGTCGCTCTTTTAAGGCATCAAGCCCGATGGATTGCAGCTGCCGCCACGGTACATCACCATGAACAAGAGCTAGGAACCCACCGCTGGGCGCCTTGCCATGGTCACCTCGGCGCCCCACCTTGGCTCGTTGAACAGTCTGAGGTGGCAGGCCGCGCTAATATTATCCAGTCCTGCGACTCCACTCGTTGCATTGAAGTGGAGCGCGATGCCCATGACCTTCACATCTCAGGTTATACTGTTCGTCCTGCCTCAAGTCACGCCTGTCGCACTGCCACTGTGCGCGATGGCGACTGGTGGGTCCACTCAGCGGCCGTTGGGCTGCTTGGGCGCCATCTCTCCTTCCCAGCACAGCTCGCCTGGCTTCTATACAGCCTTGCCGCCCATGCCTGGGCTGGTTCTTCGAGCTGCCCAAGTGTTGACTCCTCCGAGGCAAGAACCATCCGCACCCGCCGGCGACCCAGCCGTAGTCGTTCACCGGGTTCACAGTGGCCGGGACGGTTTTTCCCTCCTCGAGTTGACTTTAATGATGGGGAGCCCTACGTTCCGCAGAGTGGCTGGCAGCCTGACGCCCCAGACGGCCCACTCGCACGCTGCTTCCCGGGGCCTCGGCCGCAGACTGCCAGAGTCCTCTGCCCCCTGCGGGGCTGGAGCGAGCTCTTGTTTATTAACCTGGCAGGCACCTGGCGGGAAGTGGAGCATGAAGGTGCTCGGCACTGCGGTCTCTGGTCGCGCAGGTTCTTTCCGGTGCGTGCTGTGCTTCCCGTCTCGCAGCTCACTCTTGCTCCAGTGGCCCCATATGGCCTCGTTACAGTTGTCTTTCACATGGAAAGTTGCTCAGCCGTGGCTCTGGCGTCTGTTGACTCCAGTTTGGTTGACCTTCAGCGGCTCGCCGCTCGTGTGTTCACGCATGCTCGCTACTGGCGAGTGGTTGCGCCGCCTGTGTTACGCGCGGCCAACCCGCACACTCATCTACGGTTGCGTAACGGCGACGCCTTTAGTCTTGTTCCTGAACAATCTCAGCCAGAGGCCACCCGCTTCCCACTGCTGCAGTACCCCTCCCTCGAGCGGGCCCGACAGGTTGCCAGCTGGTCTCTTCCTTTTCGGTTTGACTCTGGTGGGCTCGTAGTTCTCTGGTATTCTAATCGCCGGCATGGGCACTACATTAGGATTAGGGATACGGGCTACTGGGACCCTGAAGGTCCCACCTTTTGGAGCCTTAACGGGGAGGCTTTGTCAGGTTCATGGGTCCCGGTCCTTACGGGTGACTTGTCGAGTCTTCACCTGGTGCATCAAGCTTCCGTTGGTGAGGCGCACGTTCTCTTCCTTCTGCCGCCGGACCTCATGCCACAGGGCCGGCGGCTCGCGGGCTGCAATGCTTATCGTGCCCCTCCTGGGTGGCGACTTCTGCCAGCTCTGCAATATGTTCGCGCGGACAGCCCTCTTCGAGACGGCGATGTGCTAGTCATTGACCCAGACGCCAGCGTGGTCTGGGACCCCTTCGGTCCACTTCCCTCTGCGGCCGTAGAGGAGTCTCATTCTGATTGGCCCTCCTGCTCGTCACCTTCTGAGATACGAGGGGCCGGTTGGCTTGCCTTTCTTGCTGTCGCTGCTCGATGGCCCCGTTGGCTTACTCTCGCTCTCCTTTCTCATTACGTGTGTGGCATGGTCCCGGTCCTGGAGGTGCCGGATAGGCCCATTCGCACAGGCCTGTACCCATGGCGAGCCAAGCCCGGCGAGGAAGACCTTGTCGACCTCTCTCCTGGCACTGAGATTGATGTTGTGTATCTCAGCCCTTTCACTGGTCCGCGGGAAGCTGGACGTCTCCCCACTGTGTCCACACTTGAGGATCTGAGCTCGCTTGCGCGGGCGTGCGATCCTGAATGGGCTGCTGATGTTGCGCCGGTGTGGCCCACAGCGGCCATCCCTGCCCTGCTTGTTGTGCCCAGGCCCCTCTCTCTCGATATGGTGTGTCTCGCCATATCGTCCTTGGATCAACACTTTTCCATCCTGACTCCATGTGTTACTTCAGTGTCATGGCTCAGTTTTGCTCTTCGTTTTCTGCAGCCTATGCAGACCCTGTCCGTGCGAGCTCCCAGCCCTCTCACTGCTGAGGCCACCACGGATCAAAATGTTAGATGGCGCTCAGGGGACCTCGTTGTCGCTCTTCCGCCCGCCGCCTTTGTGCCTGAGTATCAACCGCCCTGCTTCCACTCTGACACTCAAGTTCGTCATTGCGCCATATGGTCGGTTGATTTTTCAGTTTCCTTTCGCGCGAACTTCGTCCTGTGGCAACCGGGCGTCAGGGCCGTTCGGGGACATGCCCCCGCAGGAGCTCGCTGGCAGGCACTCGACTTCACCTTCGAAGGGGAATTCAGCCAACATTACCCCGGTCGCTGGGTGCCCGTCCCCTGGATTGCCCAGGACCACACGCATCTCGTCCTGCTTCCTGAGGACCCATCCCGTGCCAATGTGGTGGTGGAAGCGGATGGTCAATGCTGGTGCGCCTCCATCACTGCTGTCACAGATGCGTGGCAACTGTGGACTGAACTGCCGACTGTCTCCGGTCAACCTCGGGTCCTCGGCGTTTCTCATCGCGAGCTTAGGCAGGGAACTACCCTACGTAGCGGCGATGTGGTGTCCGAGGCCTCCGGACGCTTTACACCTTGGGCCGTTTTCAGTTTGATCGGGGTGTCTGGGTGGCGTACTGCCGGGCCTAGCGTGGTTCTCCTAGCTATTGGACTTGCCTGGGGGCACTCTGTCGGGGCTACTCGCTACACTGGCGCTGCCCCGAGCTCCTCTCTGGACCGGCACGCAGAGGGCCCTCTCTTGCCAGACTGTTTCCCTACTTGCCATCGGCTGTGGGATCCTGCTTGTGGGGTCCTTGGACCCTTCCGTGGTACCTCCTTGGAGCCTCCCGTCGCTCTTCGAGATGCTGCTCCCGCATGGTCATCCTTTACCCGGGTTCACCCTCCACAGGACCCTCGCCTTGTTGACTGGGTTCCGGTGCCCTCTGACCCGATGTTTGCCACCGTCCTTCTCCAGTGCCCCCCGGCCACCCGGGCTGCTTTCCTTCCAGCTACGTGCGCCGCTGCGGATTTGCTCCGAGCCTACAATCGAATTGTCCGGGACCTGTCTCTCATCTTGGCACCCCCCGAAATTTGGTGTGGGACGGCTACCTCACCGAACCCAACTCTTTTCCTCCGGTCCGGCGACGTTCTCACGCTCGCTGGAGAGACCTGGGCTCCTCGCCTTCGCTCGCCGGCCGGGCGTTACTGGGACACGCTGCTGCAGGCGCGTCACTTCGCCTTCTGGGGAAGCCCTTTCAGCATACGCCAACCTGGGCTCCTGTTTGCCTGGTCACCTGGTGACCCGGTCCCACTCACTGTACCCACGGTTCGCGACGAACAATGGGACCCCGTGCACTGCACATTCCGGCCCTCCCTTGCCTGCTTCAGTGTCACTCGATGGATTCCTGCACAGCGGCTTGATGACCTTGGTCTTCACCTTGTCTCTGAGAGCCCGAACCTGCACCGTGCGCATGTTCTTCCCGCACAGCCTCCCCTGCACGTCCAGGTCGTTTCGCGACAAGGGTCGAGTGGCCTGCTGCGTGACGGAGACAGCCTCTCTGGCTGTCGACCAACCCCGTCCCTTCTCCTTCCCCACCTTTTAGTTGGGGGTCTGCTCCCGAGTACTCTCCGGCGGCTTTGGCTTGCGGCCCTTGGTCTCGGGCTCCTGGCAAGCTACGGCCCGCCAGCCTTCCCAGCTCATCTGCTCTTTCCCCGTGCAGGGGCCCTTTCAGGGAACTGCCTAGCTCCCGCGTTGGATTTTGGCCTCCTGTTCCGTACCAGCTGCTATCTCCGCGCTCGGGGCGCGCCTGTTTGGAGCAGCACTGATGGAATCTCGTGGTCGGCTGATGTTCATGAGGAATGCGTCGCCCAGGCTTCCATACACCAACTCTGGTGGTCTCATGAGCTTTACCCGTTTCTTCCCGCATCCGCCCCTCCATCATACCGTCAGGCTTTCTGCAACTTCCCGCTCTGGCACGGGGGAGTGCCTGACCAGGTCTTCATTGCCACTGACGGCAGCGGCGAGCATGGAGGGGCTTGGGCCTTCTGTGTGTGGGCTTGGTGGCGCCATCGATGGTACCGCGTCGGTTGGTTTGGGGCCTCTGGCTATCAGCTCCCCTGGACCCCTGACCTGCCGCCCTCGGCAGGCGGCCTCTCCTTCCACACTGAACTCGCGGCCTTACAGGCTGCCGGACTCTGGCTTATTGCCTGGGTTGACCGCCTGTCCCTTCTCACAGCCTCTGCCCCTACCAAGGTTACTGTTGCGGTCGATAACGCTGCGGCACTTCAAATCGCAGCAGGGCAGGCCCAAGCCGCAGCACCTGCCACCACCACCACTCGGTATGTTTGGCAGGCCGTTCAAGCTCGGCTCTCCACACGGTTCCAGCATGTCCATAGCCACGTCGGAGTGCTCCCAAACACCTTCGCGGACTTCCTTGCCGGCTGGTCGGGTCGAGTCTCCTGGCAACCGTGGAAGCAGCTTGACCCTTTGCTACCCTCCCTCATGCAAAACGCGGCTCCGTGGCTCTGGGTCATCCCACATGCTCGTGTCGTAAAGGGTCGGCCGTGCATTTGTTTGGTCTCGCAGACCATCTCATGTGCCCGCTACTGAGGCTGGTGACGTGCTCCCTCCTGCCGAGGATACCTTGACATCCACTGAGGCCGCTGCTCCACCGGGTCGTCCACTTGCCGATTCTCCCATCCCTTTGCGCTTGGTCACAGCCAATGTTCAAACGATGCGTGACTCCAACGCTTCATTCTTCAATCCCTCAGGGCACGGTCAGCGGCGCCAGTACCTTTATTCTCAGGTTGCTACCTTAGGCCTCGACGTTGTCTGCCTGCAAGAAGCCCGCAGCAAGGGTGGCCGTTGGGACACAGCCGGCCTCCTCACCTGGCGCTCCGGCGCGCAGAAAGGGAGTTACGGTTGTGAAATCTGGATAAGGCCTGGCATTACCAATCCGCCCTTGCGGCTTGATGACTGGCGCATCGCTAGCGCCGACCCTCGTCTTCTCGTTATTGTCAGCAAGCGTGCGGACTTACCCATTGCTGTCATCGCCGCCCATGCCCCCCACGCTGAGCGGCCCGCTTCTGAGATTCACCACTTTTGGTCTTCGTTGCACTCGTCCCTGTGCCAGTTGCCCCGGGCTCTGTCTCTTGTTCTCGGCCTGGATGCTAACGCTGACCTACTTTGGGCGGACGAAGACCACGCCTATATCGGCGACTGTCTGGGCAACAGTGAGGAGGGTGCTGGCGAGCAAGGTCTTTTTGACACTATCCAGCGTTTCGGCCTTCTTGCTCCGGCTTCCTTCTCCGCCATCCAACAGGGCCCGGGTTGGTCCTGGGAGCATACGGGCGGTACCAGGAAGCGGCTTGACCATCTCCTGCTTCAGGCGGGTCCATGGCAGTGCACCCGCGCCCGTCAGCTTCCCGAGTTGGACATTCTTAACGGCCGCAGAGATCATATGCCTCTCCTTGTTGAATGCTGTCTTAAACGACAGGCGACACTGGCACGACCCCCCGGGGCATCCAACCGAGCTACCGCTAAGCAAGCACAGCTTATTGCTGCCAGCCTTTGGCGTGAGCTCCCATCTCCCGTGCGCAGCATCGTTGAGGTTGGACAGGAGATCAGGGATCTCAAAGCTAGGCACCTCCGCCTCTTGGAGGCCCTTCCGAGAGCTCCTCGGCGGCCTGCCCGCCAGCCCTACATCACTGCTGAGTCTGTTGCCGCCCTGGATGTTGTGCGGCAGGCTCGCGAGCAACTCCCGCGCCTCCGCAGTAATGTCGAATGGCAGAAACGGCGCTTTCTTCTCCTTGTGTGGCGATGGAGTTGCGTCAGGGGTCGATCCGACACTGCTGTCCCCCGCCCAGACCCCACCGGGCTTCAACATGCCAGGTTGTTGTTACAGGCCTGTAATCTGCACATCCGGGGTCTGCAGCAGAAGGCACACTATCTAGCCCGCTCTGACAAGCTTGCCCATTTCCGCACTCTTACCCTTGCTGCCACCCAGCACTGGGAATCCACAGGCGTTCCTTTGGAATCTATCCGGCATCTTCGATGGGCCTCTCGCAAGGCCCATGACCGCCGGGCTGTGCACGCCGCTGGCGGTTTCGACATCGACCGTGAGCTTGAAGCACAATTTCGTGACCAGGAAGGCGCCCGCCTCGTCTCTCCGGCACTGCTCTCACAAACAGCCGAGCAGTGGCTCTCTGTCGATGCCACTCGCTCCCCGTGCCTCGAGGCAGTTCCTTCACTGCTCCAAATGGAGCAAATGTGCATCCGACAGGCACCAGCTAAGGCACCAGGACCTGACGGCCTGCGGAACGAGCTCTGGCGGGAACATGGAGCTCTTGCCGGACAATGGCTTTGGCCACTCTGCACCCGCATTGCGCTTCAAGGCCGAGAACCCTTCGATTTCAAGAAAGCCATCGTCTGCGCCCTCTACAAAAAGGGCCCGGCATCAGTACCTGCCAACTACCGTTCCATTGCCCTCCTTAACGGCATCGCTAAGCTGTGGCATTCGCACCTCCGCACCACGGTCGGTGGACATGTGCTGTCTCGTTATGAGCCCATGCAGCTAGGAGGGCGCAGAGGTGTCCACACTGGGTTTGCACTGGCGGCTTTCCGATGCGCCTGGGACCTTTCCGTCGCAGCGGGGCGGTGCGTTGCTGTTGTCTTTGTCGACATCCAAGCCGCTTACTATGAGGCTAGCCGAGATCTTCTCTTCGATGGCTTCCCTGACGATGTTGATGTCCCGGAGCACCATCACCTTGCTGGACTTGTCCTCCAGCTTCACGGCCAGGGGGCTCTCTCCGCTCTTGGCGTTGCTGAGGATGTCAGCGCGCTCCTTCGGGATTGTGTTGCTCTGTCCCACTGGTCGCTCTCCGGGTCGGACAACATTTTCTTGGCCTCCCGAGGCTCCCGTCCCGGCGACGGCCTAGCGGACGTTTTGTTCGGCGCCCTATTTGCCATTGGGCTGCAACACATACAGCGCACTGCTTGTTCCATGGGCATCTCGCACACCAGTGCCGGGGTCGAGATCGGCCTCGAGCCAGGCGTCAAGCCGATTGGCTGGGCTGACGACCTTGCCGTCCTTGCGGACTTTGATAGTCCTGCCGAGCTCCAAACACAGCTCCCCCAACTCACTGGTGTCATTCTTGATACCCTCCGGTGCTTGCGGTTCCGGGTCAATCTTGGAGCAGGCAAAACTGAGGCCCTTGTCGATATTAGGGGAGACGGTGCACGCGCTGCACGAGGCGCCTTGCTCAGCGGCGACGCCCTTTTGGAAGTCTCCAAAGGTGACAGCATTCGACTTTGCCCTGAGTACAAATACTTGGGTGTAGCCCAACTGCCTCGAGACACCGGCAGGCGCGACTGCGAGCTGTCGGCACAGCGGGGGTCAGCGGCGGCGTCGCTTGCCCGAACCCTGCTGTGCAGCAATTGTCTGCCCTGGGAACTGAAACGAGCCTGGATTACCGGCCGAGTTCTCCTTACTCCTCCTTGGCCTTCTCGCGCGCTGACTCCGCCCGGGCTGCTGCGCCATTGGCTGGACTCTTTGAACGCACAGCTAGGATCCTGTTGTCTTCCTGGCAAGTCGGTCACAAACTTACCACCCCCTTGCTTCGGCTTCTCGCTGATATCACCCCTCCTGACCTTGCTACCACTGTTAGCCAGTGCCGCCTCTGTGTGCAACTTTTCTGCAAGGCTCCAGCGGCTGTCAGGGAAATTGTCGATGCTGCGTGGAACCGGGCAATCCCTTGGTGTCAGGCCCTCGTCCTTGCTTGTTTGCGAGTGGGAGTCGCCCTAGACTCCTGGGACCCCGCCGCTCCTCCCGCCATCACTGTCCTGTTCGTCCAGCAGAACGGACGCGCTCTCCTTCGAGCGTGCAAGGCTCTGAGCAAATTTGGGCACAGGTATGCTGCCTGCGCCCAGCTTTGGGCGGACCTGGCCACCCGTCGCACCACCAAGATCCTAGGTGCGCCACAATCCCACAGTTGTCCGGTCTGTCGAGGTGTTTTCCCGAGCCTTCATGCAGTACGCGCTCACATGCATCGGAAACACGGCGTCCTGTCTGATGTGACTGCCTATATGGCGGGCTCGGTTTGTCTCTGGTGTATGCGAGACTTCCAATCCTCGGATCGACTGAAGCACCACCTTCAAACGCAGCGCTCCTGCCTGCACGGCCTGCGTGTTACAGTCGGCCCTGTCTATCAGTACGGCTCGGGCACAAAACGTTCGGGTCGCGCCAGCCACCGGGGAGTCCCTCCACAACGCATCTGCGGGCCTTGCAATGCCACCCCAGCGCAGAGACGGGCGGCCGACCTCGGGGTGCCGGCCGATGACGCGGCCCTGCAAGCTGAGTGGGAAGCTGTTCAACGCTCCCCTGCGCTCTCGGACCTTGTCCCCGGCAACCTGCATCGACCATCTTCCTTGTCGCCTTCCGACGATGCCTCCGGCGCACAGCAGGCCTGCCTGATCTCCGCTGCTCGTGGTTCCTCCCCCAAGTCCCTTGCCTCCCAGCATTCCTGCTCGGCCACTGTTGAGGCGGCCTCTCCTGCGCAACACCCTTTGCAATGGTTCTCCGTTGTGGAAGGGGCTGCTGGCTGTGACGACTGGGCTCTTCCCTCGCCCTGGTGGCCCGGGCTTCTCGGCCTTGGAGGTGTCTTTCAGCTTCCCTCCTCCTGGCACAGGCTTTGGCCTATGTGGTCCGCGCTCGAGTTCTTTGAACCTTGGGAGCATCGGGCCATCCGCCGCTTTGGTGCGCTGCGCTCCGCCTCTTCTTGCGGGTTAGGTGCAGCAGCCACCCTTGCTGATGCCACTACTGGCAAGTGGTCCCTGTTGGAGTTGGCCGCTGCCACGGTATCCTTCCGTATGATCTGCAAGGCTGTCCTCCGCGGGGGTGCCCTCTGGCTTTGGGGGCGCCCCAGCAATTCGGGTCTTGCCCTGCTGCGCCGCCTGCTTCCGGCGGCCTTCTTCTTGGACTTCCTTTCGCCGTGGGGACGGGTCTTCCTTGTCGCTTGCTCTGCTTCCTTAGCCTCCCTTGTGCGTGCTGTCTTTGCTCGCCCTGCCTGCTCGGCCCCGGCCTCGCTTCCTTTGCGAGCTTTTTGGGCCTATCCGGCAGCCTGACTCGCCGCCCCTGTACAGTGTTTCTTTCCATTTCCGGCCGCGTGACTACAGCAGTCACGCTTTTGGGCCTTTGCACGCAGTAGTTAGCACAGGACGTCCTCTTGCGCGAGTGAGAGTGAGTTTAGGGTTTGGGGCTGAGGATTTAGGGTCTTTTTGACACTCACTCTCGAACAGAGCCTGGCAAGGTCTGCAGCGATACTGGTCTCTCTTTAACACAGGCGATTGGTACGTATCACCAAACTGCTATTGATCAGCTATCCAGCATTTAGGCTTTAGGGCTGAGGATTTCGGGTTTAGGGTTTGGGGCCAAGGATTTCGGGTTTTTTGACACTCACTCTCGGACAAGCCTGGCTAGGGCTGAGGATCTAGGGTTTAGGGTCTGGGGCTCAGGGCCACCATCATGTTGCCGGACTGCAATCAGGAGTCAGCAACACTTCCATATGGGCAGCAGTTAGTGAAGAGCTGTCACAATCGCCAACGCAGGATAATCTTGACACCATCGAGATGACAGGTGCCTGTACAGCATGCGAATCGTGATTAGAAGCAGCAACTTCATTCGTCTGGCTATCGAGCAGTTTCCGTCCTGGCTTCCTGTTTGGCAGTGCGGTACTCGAGAATATTCCTTGCAGCTGCAGAGTGCAACTGTTGTGCGCCACACGGCTTGCTCAAGCCTAAACTCAATCCTTTAAATCGAGGAATACAGCCAGGCGAACATGGAAATGACCTGTCTGATAGCACCAGCAGCATTGTCATTGTTACGCCTGCGAGTACCGCCGATAACACGCGACTACCCACCACCACGAACGCAAGAGCAACAACAATAACAACGACAGCAACACCAACCTCCTAAACCCTCGGCCCGAGACCCTGCATGCGTGCATGCATTCAAGGATCATCTTCGGGGCCATGGCTTCAAGTGGCGGCTGCTGCGCGATTCGTAGGTTGCATGCAGCCCGCAACAATGGGCTGAGGTTTGGTGTAGGGCTCAGGCTAATAATTACCTGCATTAATTTGGGTGTTCCTTATTCTAGTTCTCGCATAGTGGGCCCCAAAACCCCAAACCCTATTCTGTTTGTCGGTTTGGGGTTTGGAGTCTATTGGGCTTATGGGCTCTGGACTCTCGCAACTCGATCGCCGCAGGCCAGGGCTTTAAAGCTTCGGGCTTGTAGGGTTGTTGAGGCTAGGGGTTGTTGGGCTTAGGGCTTAGGTGGGGGAGTTGAAACTTGAGGTGACAGGGCAATGCGCATTTGGATCTTCTCGGGTTCGTTCGACAATCCGCAGGGGAGATGAGCCCTTTCTGTCCCGAGGCTTTTTGGCTCAAACGCGGTGGTTGCGGCTACAGTAGTAATGTTTGGGCCTTAAGAATTTGAGAAGGGGTTTGTGGCATCTTCTGATGCAATTCTGATGGGACCCCTCAGGAACAGTTTTGGTAGTTATTCAACTTCTACATTCGAGAAACGTTGTGGACACTCGCCGCCTACCGGTGGCCACATGGTTATGAGCTTGGGCCACATAAACTGGCCTGCAAATTATCCCGTTCTCCTAAGCTGGCATGTACAGACCCAGAAAATTCACAGATATATATATATATATATATATATACATAAGTGTGTACACAAAGGACTATGAATATTTTGCACATGTGTTTCTGTGTGTACATGTACATGTGTAAGTATAAATAGAAATATGTGTATATATATATATATAACTATATATATATATAGATGCTAAGGAAAGCTCCAGCACGAACTCACCAAACAAAAGGATCCACCCTCAACCGCAAATCTGAAGTCACCTGCCTATGAGCCCTGTAGAAGTCTTTATTCCAACCGGGGGTACTTACTTGGGGGCCTTAAAATAAGGATCCTACTATCTAACTACTTAAAAGGCAGGTAGTGACGTTCATTCAGTATCTCGTGAACTTCCTCCTGCTCCTCTCTATGAATGGCCTGAGTAAGATGGAGGCCTTAATAATTGGAACAAGGTTTTGGGGCCCAGTATACTAGAATTATAACAAGGAGCCCCCAAAATAATTTCGGCAATTATTAAGGCCCCTATACTAGGCACCCAGGGGGTTCTGTGGGGCATCTTTGGAGGTCTGGTTGACTTTCAGGGCTTCAATACATGCCACCCCATCCGCCTCTGTGAGCTCAGAGTGGGTCTTACGACCTGAATTTGAGGATCTATCATCATCATCATCACCATTATCAGGAATAACAAAGTAAGGGAGGCAAACCAATCAGAGACGAAGCCCTTCTCCGCTTTTCCGTCTTGTGGATCTGACGCCATGCGCTGGCCTTGAAGTCATCCTGCAAGCCAAGGACTTCGCTGAGCTCCCGGGGATCTTGTCCTGATCTGCGGGATTTCGAGACTCGGAGGTTTTGTAGGGTTGCTTCAGTTTCCCAGGCCCAGAGGCCCAAAGGGAGGCCAGGAAGCTGATAAATGGTAAACCGGGAAACGGTAGAGTGTGCATGGGCTTGTTGCTGTTGGCTTGCATCTTACCCAAAAGGCCTGTTGTAGACTGTAGACGATGTCTGACAGCGCACTCCAAGCCTAATTAATGCTATTATGTAAGGAGGCAGAATCCGGTTATAGAAAGTCACCGAAGTACTCGGCAGGCAAGTGGCGGAGGATGTTAAAGGGCACGCGCCGCTCATCGACAATAATTTCTGCCAGGGTCGCGTGGACCATATCCCAAGCGGTCTTGTAGAAAGTCAGCCCATCGCAGCATGCAGCATAAACAAAATCCTTAAAATTCAGCCTCTTGGGGATCTTGATTAAAGCCTGCTCTTCGGGTACCCAGCACGACTGGTTGCCACCTATTCCGAAAGATTCGTCGCAACACATCTTCCACTGCGAAAGCCACTGTGCCCAGTCATCCCCCGGCGTCGCCACCACATGCGGCCAGCAATTATGCACCCTCTTTGGCAGCCAGCGATCCTTCTTGCAGGTGTTGTGGATAAACCAAAGATTCGGGTACGCCTCCTGCAAGGCACGGAGAATACCTTTGTACTCATCGATGCTTTCCTGCAGCGCATCATAGTGTATTTTCTCACACGTCTCTCCTCCGCGCCCGACTACGTCCGAGCAGAAGTGGACGCCTACACGGACCACATCGAATGCATCTGCCACCACATCGAAGCGATCCAATTTTGCAAACGGAGCTCGGCCCAGACTCATGTCCAAACGAACCTGGGCTTTGAAGTAATCAGGGAGAAAAGAATATGGACTTCTATTTCGTAAGTATGTCCCACTTAAAGTAGCAGGTCCCCCAGAAAAATATTCAAGTACGGTACTCCAAAGCCCAGGAACATGATCCCGGATCTCCCGACCTTCGATGTAGTTCTTCGCCACGCGGAGCCCATGCCCATCCGAGTAGAAGTGCGCAATCGAAGTAGTGCCACAGCTGCTGGGCCCTGCCTGGAGTACTCGCGGCCGCGCACTTCGAGCTCCGGGCGTTGAGAGGGCAAAGCTGTTTTTGAGGGTCAGTAAGAGAGCCTCTTCCATACTTCCACTCAAGAGCTCACAGGCCGTGCCGCCGGCGCCTGGCGCACACTTTAGTAATCCGGACTTACAGACCTGTAAGCAAGCCTCGCCGGTGAACCATCGTGGCAGCACATTGAAAGGCCTCATGCTGAAAAGGAGGATACCACCAGCCAAGTGTGCATCCACAGGAGCCGTGCGATTTTTCGTCGGTTCTGCCTGGGTTTTCACATCCTCAGCCTGCCATCCCTCGGAGGACACGAAACCGTGGCCTGCTGTCAGCAAAAGGTCCAACTTCGAGGAGACCTCGAAGCGATTCACCACATCTTCGGCTGCCATGAAAGGGTTCTCGTAGGCGATATGGAAGCAGTCCTTGCATGCACTCATGCCTAGGCCTAGACTCGAGTTAGTCCTGATGCTCCCTGTCGCTCTGCTTTCTTGCCTCCCTCTTGCATATTGTGCGCTGCCCGTGCAGTCCTGGATCAGCGCCAGCGTGGGGTGAGACGGTCTGAAGAGCCGGAGGCCCACATCGATGAAGGGTGCCTGCAGCTCCTTCCGCTCCGACTGAGCAGCTCCAGCAGCAGTGAGCACTTGCGTGTCTGTGATAAACATGAGGTGTCGACCCATGGATTGCGCCGTGAGGAGGTGGCTCGCCTTGTCGCCCAAACCCGGGAAGGAGATGGTCGCCAAATTCAAGAATGCGACTGGAGTGCCCCGTCGCAGTATGAAGTAGGCCAAAGCCAGGGCATCCAATCCCGAGGACGCCCCCCAAGTGGACCACACACAGTGGAGGAGCGGCCCGCTGTAAAAACCGAACCATGCCATTTTCTTGCAGCTGGTCTTCGGGATTTCGGAACCCTGCTCCATCACAAGCAGAACTTGATGCTCTGTGTAGGGTGGATTGCGCACCTTCAGTGCAGTCCTTAATCGACTAAGCCAAGTGGACAACTCCATGGTATCGGTCCGGCGAGGAACCGTCGTGATCCAAACAGCGCCTAGGGGATAGTTTCCAGACTCCTGCTTCCTGGGCTGTCATGTGGGAGTTTCCGAAAACTGGAGACCTCATATAGGCCCCAAATAGTAGGATCCTTCTTATAAGGACCCCCAAATCAGTTACCCCTAGTTTTCGAAAACCCCCATGATGTCAGGACCCTCAAGGCTCTGTGGACAAGCGCCCCTCCCGGACCTTGACGAAACGAAACAAGTTTGTTCAAGTACCACCTAGCTTCTCCCACATTGCATCCAATAGGGGTGCCTGATCGAAAAGCTCTGCTTTGGGTGCATCTCGGGCAGTGATGATGAAGCTATGTTTCCTCTGTCCTGCCAGTAGAGCCAGAAGGCCCCACAAAGGCCAAGCATTGTGAAGAAGCATTGCTACATCTGGTTCCGACGTCCACTGCATGAGTTCCTCGGCATCTGTGTCCAGCGTCACCACCTTTGGCCAAACGGTGAGCTCCCCCCTCCCCGCCCACCCGGCCATCTCCCGACATCGTAATAATGCAGGCATGGGGAAACCCAACCCTGCAGGGCCTCTTCCTGCTTCTGCTCCGCATCATGGCCAATGCACCGGATAAGCTTCAGGGCCATCACCCCGAAGGGGCAGGCCTTCCTGGCGGCCTTCTGAATGAGACTGCCTCGGCCCGGAACCCGCCCCCCTTCAGAAAAACACAAAGACACGGGGACTTGGCATTCAGTGATCCCTCTCAGCCAATAGGAGGGCGAAAGTCCAAGAAAAAAGCCCGAAAGTTGACACCCAGTGGCTGGAAAAAGCCACTCGAGCGGCATTGACCCATTCGAAGGCACCTTTTCGTACGATCGAACTGGCCAATTCCCGGGCCTTGGACCAGAAGGTCTTGCCGGCAGCCTTCTCCTCAGCGTTCACCTCGGATTCTTGATGCTTTCAAGCCTTCTGATGAACATGTTGTGCTTCAGTACCCCACCCACAAAACATCCACGGCGCATCAAGGAAAGCCCTGCTTCCCGCTGAGGCACGGCAAACGCATAGGCCGCCACATCCGGAATAGAATCACAGCTCCCGTACGGCTCAGCGACCCCTGAGAGGCCCAACGCTCGGAGTCGATGCTCGATGGCCTCGGTGGCAGCGGGAAAAATTCGCCTTCTTGCGGAGATGATGCAAGAGCCCATAAAGAATCCCAGGTGTGTAACAGCCACCATGGAGCCCTCGCATGCTCTCGGCATTTGCTTTAACCTTGAGGTACACATGTCATGTTCAGCATTCAGGCATGTAGCAGCACCTGCCACCTCCAGCACCTCCGGTACGACGCTTCCGGCCACGGCCCAGAAGCTGGGAAGCGGAGGCTGCACGTGAAGGCCGATCCAGGGCCGGAGTGCCCCATCTCCACCCGGGGAATCTTGGGGCCTCGAGTTTGGACAGGAAATCTTACAGTAACTCAAGCAGAGGTGGGCAAGCGCAGTGATGCTGGTTATTTTATATATTGTTGGGGGCATCAGCTCAGCTAAAACAAAGCTTTCCACCAAGCCGGGGCGACCCGGACGTGTCTGCCGAAGTGTTGCGGGCATGGCCAATCAAGAGCACCAGCTGCGCTAGCAACCTCGATTGCAACCGGGACTCTGGGAGTTTCTCTCGCCCGCTCCGCCGGGTTAGGGATCTTGGTCTGTGTGTTATACAGGGGCCTGAATTCTGAATAATCAGCAAAGGGCGGGCGTGCTTTATTGGCCGGACACTTCCCGATCCAAACAAGGCTTCCTCCATAACACTGCTCCGCTTGATGCTGCCTATCAACAGCACAGCAAGCTTCGAACCTACAATGGTTCATGCCGATAACAAAACAAGGATAACAACACCCTACAAACCTTACATGGTCTCAACCCTACACCGTAAACCCCTGTAGGTCCCCCCGCCACCATCCCTCCCGATTTGAGTGCCTGGTGAGGCCGCAGCGGTTTGCCCGGGCTTCAAGGCTCGCCAGGACCTTCCCACGCAGCTCAGAGGAGAAGAGCGCCTCAAGGTTGGACTTACCTTTGGTTAGTAGGGAATGGAAGAACGGTAGTAATAGTAGTTATATGGTAGTTATATGGTAGTAATATGATAGTAACATGGTAGCAATATGGTAGTATAGTAGTTATAATTGTACCCCATTCCTCCATTCCCTACTAACCAAAGGTGCTTGGAGTGTGTTGAAGGCATGGGGCCACACTAGGCACTTCGATGCTTAAACTTGGGATGCCCGGCGAAGTGGAAGTAGTAATATAGGGGCCTTAATAACTAGGCTAGGGTTTGGGGGCCCCTAATTCGGAGGGTATAATCAGGAAACACTCAAACAGCATAATTATTGAGGCCCCTATATTATCCAGAATATCCCAGAATGCGTCTGCCCTACCTCGCAACCCTCCATGAATCCAGCCCTTCCCACCTGGTCAGAAGTCACCACCGACACGGCGGCTTCCACCAACGCGCTGGGAGCTTCCCCTTCTGCTGGACATTCATCTTTCACCTCATGGCTCGCTCTTTGGCGTCCTTTTATCCAAGGGTCATGGACTTGGACTAATTCTGCACTATCTGCGCCCAAAGCTGGGACAAATGAACAAAGGGTCTAATTGCATATGTGAGGGGGTCTCATTACTAATAGTACTCCCTCATCGCCTTCTTCTGATTGCGCCATGCCTTTTCTACAGTAATACCCTAGACACCCTAAACCCTTTGCTACAGTAATGAGGGCCCCTACGCTACTTTAGGCGAGTGGCGAGATCCCACTCTTCGTCGGGTGCCCAGGCCAGAGCCAGTGGCAGCCAGCAGAAGCAAGAGAGCCCTCTGAGGTGCATTCGTCAGCTGGAACATGGGCCAAAGAGTCCAAGGGTAAAAGGAGGGACCAATAATAAGGACCCCGATAAGTATATACCCTTATACCCTCAATATAGCTAGTATATACCCACTATATAGCCCATTATAGGGTAGGGGTCCCCATTAAGGGTCCCTCCTTTTCCCCTTTGAAAGAAGCAGTCTCCGCTCCAGGGCCGGGGCCTAATATGTCAAGGCTCTTCGATGCTCCTAACCCTAAACTTAACCCTACAACACCTACGCCCACATTATTTTGGTGTCTCCCTCATTTCCGGAACTGCCGCGCTGCCCGGGCCCTTGAGCTCCAACTTGCTGCTGGATTTTGCACTCTCTCACACGCCTAGCCCTTCATAACTCCATATTCCTGAATCTACTAAACCATGTAGGAGGGGGTTGGAACATAAGGAATAGTAAAATCCCTATGTTTTTTCGCCCTTAGACTTCTATTCACATCAGAATGTGTGGATCTGCCTTCCTATATGCAGCAGTAGTAGAAGCAGAAGCGGTAGGAGTCGTCCACGTCCCGTAGTCGTAGTGGTGGTAGTGGTGGCAGTGGGAGCAGTACAGCAGCGGATTGAACTGAGCTCCCTCTTTCCGCAGCCTCTGAATGAAGGTAACCGGGTTCCTCGTTTGAGGTCCGGGCTTGAATGGTCGGCATCTGTAAAGGTGCATGAGGACGCCGCTAGAAAGAACCGACACCTATGTACCGAGAGTCTGTTTCTTGATGGTGGGCTAGTCAGGCTAGTCAGGTTCAAGCCCTTTCTAGCATACCTTGGAAACCTGGGAGATTCTGCACATGGTTCGTCTTTGCCAGAATCGGATCGTAACAAAGGGCCCCATGAATTTGCGTTGTTTCTCCGAACATGCTTGTGCTACATTCTTCGCACTCCTGCACTTCAGAAAGCTACGAGCCACTTTGGGCAGCGGTAGCGGCCAGGCCCTGCAACATTTCTGCAGGGCGATAGCAACCCCTGTGCCAGCTCGCGGCCCGGATTTTTGCATTTCAACCTAGGGTTTGGCTCGATCGCGACCTCAGACTACTTCGTAATACCTACCTGGACCTATATATACCTCCCCAAGAAGCCCCTTAAAACACAGAAGTTTTCTGAAATTGACGGTGCTGAGCGTGCTCCCGACACCAAGGTCACAGCTCTCTCCTCCATCTCCGATGCATATACAGTTTAATAAACCCACCCCTGACATGACAAGCAAACGTTTGCTCAAGTGCTCTTAACTTCCGATGAAACGCTCTCCCACTGTAGCGGCGGCTGCAGGCAACTGTGACTTCCCTCACTGAACAACGCAGCAGCACGACTTCTTGGCCTCTGCAGGGACTGTCGGGGGGCTGAAGAAAAGAAGTGCGCGGTGATCATCCAAGGGCAGGCAAGGGCCGCAAGGGCAGGGACTTCAATCTTAGCAACTACCTAGAGGCTCCATAGTAGTTCCTTTTTGGGACTACCTGATTCTAAATATGAACCCCTAAAAGGAACTACTATGGACAAGAATTCGTCACGACCGCTGAAAGTGGCCTCAACAACGAAGAAAAGGCTAAGCCGTCGATGTGTCGGGCTGTTGAGACTGAGATTATGGAGTTGGGTCTGCTTGAGAAGAACACTACCGCTGATAGCTTCTGGCAGTCGGTTGTTATCGTCGGACTATAAGTTGAGGTTCGGAGCCGAGCATCGTTCAGAAGTAGCAGGCGGAGGAGACAGGAATGGATCAATCGCCTAAAAGTCCCCTGCGACCCCCTCGACCGGGGCTCTGCATTCAGTTTGAAGCCCTTGTTCTCTAACTGTCTGGCCAGGGTAACCTACACACCATTTTTCAGACGAAAGGAAGCTCTACAAATTTTGCCCTTAACCGTAAACAATACACCATGCCCGAGCTTTGCCTTGTTCAACTCCTGCTGCATCTCTTCGCACTCCTTGGCGTGCTTCTGCTCTGCCTCGTTCCCACAAGATGAAGGTTTTCGGTCAGTGGTGGAGGGTTGAGGCATGTATGGCCGCATCTCTGCGGATTTGGGTTTAGGGTTGGGATTCTCGAAATGTCGCCGCGATATCGAGATCCGCCTACATACGGCACTTGCAACTTGCAAGGATTCCAGGCCCGAAAGAAGATTCCGCATTCAGGAACTACTACTATAGCCTTACGGGCGCGTTTGAACTGGAGGCACGAGAGCACGATGTTGCTATGAAAAGGGGTAGCTGGAGCAAATACTTCTTGGCATCAGAAGAAGCCCTCAGCCAGGATGCCGCCGCCATCTCGTCCTGTGGGTCATGCACTGCAACATACCCCGGTGTTCTTTAAACAAGTTTTGCTTTGGCGTCAATCAGCCCGAAACTCGCATCCGGGTGGCCTCCCTCCTCCCCGAACCCGGTCCCAGTCCCAAGCCTGCACTCCTACACCGTGCTGGCGCAAACACGGGTTGAGCGGTTGAGCGAGGGATTGAAGACTGCGAAGCGATGCGCCAGAAAATTGTCAGAGAGTGCCGATGTGCCTGCAGTGCCTTGTTCTTGGCCTCAAGCTTCTCGACCTTCTCGCCATCACGGTTTCGGGTTCAGGGTGACTGTGGCATGAGTTTCTCTGCCTCTGCACATCAGACGTTTACGTTCCACATGGCACACACCAACATGGCGGCAGCGCATATCATCACTGCATTCCTGGCCTGAAATCTCTTCGACAGGAGGCCACGCGATCTACGCAACATCCATCAAACAAGACCCTAAAACCTGAACTAGACAACTTCGCTGAAAGCCGACTCTTCTCCCGTCCGATGTAAACATCTCAGCCCCCACTCTGAAATGCCTCAATGCAGATCAATGCAGTACTGGTCCAGGATCCTCATGAGAAGGATCCGCCACAAGACAGAGAAAGGTAAACCCTTAACCAGTTCTAGTCATTCAAGTCTCAGTATCATAGACTTATTCATCCTTTATTGCACTCCTTCAAAGGAATCCCGAAAGCTGAAGAATCCTCGAATCCCGGGAGGTTTCTCGCATTCATCCTGCTCCCCCACCTCTGCCTGGACAGCTTTAGACTTTTCATCGGCCACTGTGACCTTGGCGAAGTCCACGGATTCTCAGGGAGTTGGTGCTTCAATCGCAAGCTTCCTTTTTATTTTGGGATCTGCAAGAACCTACCAGCTCAGGAAAGCTCTGCAAAACAGCGCGGGCCCTTTTCCGAAGTCTCGTCCCTCTGGTTGCAATGGAACTTCGCTGCTGTTTTAAGCAAGCAGTACGCATGTCTATACCCAGGCAATACCTATATATAGAGGCAAGTGGTTTCAAGACCGAAAGTTCAAACGTACCATGATTGTTTAAAATTTTGGGTGCATGGATGCTTTCGTCTCAGCATGAAGCAACCGAAAAGGCCGCCGAGTCCGGGGGAGATCTCCGATCTCTTCACGTTCCCTAGGGGTCCATGTGCCCAAATAGTATATTGTATATATGTATATGTACATACATGTATATATATATATATATATATATATACATATATATATATATATACATATATATATATATATATATATATATATATATATATATATATATATATATATATTATATATATATATATATATATATATATATATATATATATATATTATATATGTATATACAGGCCCATCGTACCTATATAGGGACTACTTCAGGGCCCGTGGGGCCCGAGTATATACTAATTGGGCACATGGACCCTTAGAGGTTTCGTGCATGCTCAGCGCGACACTCCGTGCCTGCGGCTCGGAGCGTCGTCTATGCGAGGTATGCTTTCATTGTTTTTATACCTAGGAGTTTGGGAAAATCGGGGACCCTAGCCTAAATAGTAGGATCCTTTGATTAGTTATAGAACTCCAAAAACAGGTACCCCCCACTTTCCGGAACTCCCACCTGGGTCTATGCAAATGAGAGGAACAGAGGTGGCGACTGTGCCGCGGACTCGTGCCACACGGCCACCCCAAAGTACAAGAGTTGATCAACTGGTCATTAAGCTTTCAAGAAGCAATGGCCACGTTCTAAAATTTTGAAAGTGAACCAAAACTGAGGGTAGTGTCGTTTTTCAGCGAGGTTGTTGGTAAGGCAACCAGCAAGAATTAGAATCACAGAGCCAAGGAAGGCTGGTGTAAAAATGTACATCCATGCAGACTTCTGGAGGAAGGACACGATCACGTACAGCAGCGCAGTGGCCCCACCCGGTGGATGCACGCTATTCGTAACCTCCTGCAGAACGATCGTCAAGGAGACGGAGAGAGCTGCGCCCACACCGACATACTCCTCGATGCCTGCCAGCAGAAACAAGTGGTAGACTGCCACTCCAACGAAGCCGCCGATGGTATTGCCGAGAATTGCATTTTTCGGCTGAGCGTATGGCGTGTTCCATGCTGAGAAAATAACGACGGACATTGCACCGAAAGCAGCGACCATCAACCTCAGGGCATCTTGCACCTGAGGGATGATCAGATGTTCTTCCAGTAGTCCGAGCGATGCGACGGCAAGGAAGGAACCGAGCAAACTGCACCATGTCTGGTTCAAGGGTGGGGAAGCTGTCGGAAGGGGCGCAGCCCCTGCTCCACGAAACTTCCTGAAGTAGCAACGGATCTTGCTCACTCTTTCCGTCCCCTGCTCGCTGTCGCTGCTGTCCGGGCCCTTCTGATCTTGGGCGTGTTGAGGTGTGGAGGCCCTTGGCCACCAGTACTGCGGATAGACGCGGTCCTCTGCGAGGTTGTTCGTCACGCAGCCCACAGCCACGAGGATAACTGCTCCAAGGAAGGAAGGGCAGAGAATGAACCAGTAGCCCATCTCCTGGGCGGTCGGTGTCAAGATGTAAATTAGGGCTGTCGCACCTCCGGGTGGATGAACTGATCTCGTCACTTCCTGAGCCAATATGGTCAGGGAAACGGCGATAGCAGCACTCAGCCATAGCAACTTCTCAAGGCCCAGCTGGGTCATCAAGTTGCAAACCACTACGCCCACTAGGCCACCTAGGGTGTTGCCGAGGATCACGTTTTTGGGCTGGGCTGCAGCCGTCTTGTAGCCGCTGAAGATAATCACCGACATCGCCCCGAAGGACCCCACAAGGAGGACCATACTGGCATACGGCATCATGACGAAATTGTGGAGCAAGCCTATGGCACCCATCCCCATGAAGGCACCGAGGAAGCTAGAAACGCTGTAGAAAATCGACACCTTCGGTGGCTCCTCCTGCCCGGCACCCAACATCTTCTTGCAGTAGCTGGGCGCTGGCAGGGGCTCGGGAGGGTCCGCCATGGCTGGAAGACCACGGATTCACTAAACAAAGGGCGCGCGTAATATAGGGGCCTTAAGAAATAGAATCTGGTTTTGCAATTATACCAGAACTGTCATCAGGCAGCCTTAAGAATAGTATTGCTGTAGATTATATACTATAAATATCATAAGGAACCCTGAAATTAATTGATGTAGATTATACTGTAATTATCATAAGGAACCCTTAAAAGTAGTGTAATTCTTAAGGCCCCTATGGCAGCCTCGAGACTCCTCGAGGGGCATCCCTTCTGCGGCTCTCGGTCTTCGGAGCCTCGGACTGCGGAAAGAACCCTAAGGAACCCCTATAGACTCTTTAAAAAGGGACCCTTATAGTTTCTCTTTAAAGGGGCCCATATAGACTCTTTAAAGGGACCCCTATAGTTCCCTTTAAAGGGACCCTTATAGTTCCCTTTAAAGGAACCCCTATAGACTCTTTAAAGGGACCCTTATAGTTTCTCTTTAAAGGACCCCCTATAGACTCTTTAAAGGGACCCTTATAGTTCCCTTTAAAGGGACCCTTATAGTTCCCTTAAAGGTTACCTACTCGACTACTAACCCGATCCGTCTTCCCCCCAAGGTGCCTTGCAAGGCCTTGGGGCCTTAATAGAGTACAGGGTTCCTTTTAAGGGGCTTATAAGGGATCTATTAATACGGCGGGTTCTACAGCATAGGAGCCTTAATGATTAAAATAAGGATTTGGGGTATATGATTCTATAGTAAGGAGACGCCAAAAGGACAAGGGAGAATGGAAGCTAGAAAAGCGCCAGACTACATGTGACTGACTGGGGCGATGAAGGAAATGACTCCACGGCTAGATGAGGGGATAGAGTTGGCTGGTCTCGTAGCAGTGAAACTCGTGCAAACTATTGTGGAAAAATTCGAACAGAAACAATCTGGACTGACTCAGTCGTCCAGGAACAGGATCTACAGAGACTCAGATCATCCATGACCCAAAGCATAAAGGAGGGTGTAACAAACTAGCCCACAGGTCAAGTCCCCTGGACAGGGTTCCCGGCTGTCCGCTGCTCTTGAAGCGCAGTTTGCCAAGCTCGGAGGACAACGAGGCAAGAGCACTGGACCTTCCGGTTATCAGTATTACCATTGTTATATATATATATATATATATATATATATATAGTCATTTTCAATAGCTATTACTATGGGCTGTCGGCTTCGCAGGAAGGGGGCTGCCTGGTTCGGGACTTGGGGAGCTGAAGGCTTCGAGGATCTCTGGATCCGAAACCCGGAAGCTGCTCGACTAGGGGCTTGCTGAAACGGGAGCAACTCGTAGAGGGTACCGCTGCGGAGTGCGGTCATATAGCTGAGTAGACTTGGGCTAAACCACCATCATAGTCCGACAGGTGCCTATACCATATAGTTGTACTGGCAAAAAGGATAATGCCCCAGAATCCACTATAGACTATAGGGTTCTGCAATAGACTGTACTATGTGATGGAGCAAGGTTCGGCTGTGGTCTGGGCTCGAGGAGCTTGGGACCAGATTTGGGCCTGTGACCTTTCGGCAAAAAAAAACATGCCTCCGTTGCCCAGTACCAGAATCTGATGACAATGGGCATAGTGTTCACGAACCGAAAACTCACACTGGCGGCATGGGGTGATGCTCGCTTCGAGGTGTATTGTAAGTTCCCTCCCATCCACTTTCTCAGCAATGCCTGGAGGCAGAGCAGAGTCAAGGCACCATGCAAACTCGATTACTATGATTGAAACGTCCCGAAAGCCATTAGATACGATCCGACAAAAGGCCGCGCGGAGAAACGATCAACACACTGTACGAAGTCTTGTGGGAAGTAGTCAAGAAAGGCTGGAACTCGCCCTTCGTCGAACTTAGAGTCGAACTCTGAAGAGATAATGTCCCGATGAGTGAGACATGCAAGAGCACAAGCACAGCCAGATGCCTGAAGCTCTCCCAGCTTTCGAAGCGCCACTTCCTTGCACCTTGCCTGGGACAGCAAAGACTGACCTCCCGCATTCAGGCTTGGGACTTTGGGCCTCAGGGTTTAGAGTTTGAAGTAACAAGGTCTCTGCCATACCCAGGCAATGCATGCGTCGCCCTCTTGATATGGGGTCGGAAACCCACCGCCTCGCTTTGAAGTTCCGAAGCTTATCCAGGGCCCAGCCCAATCTGCTTTCGAAGTGCCAGCTTGGGGACGTAGCTCACCACGGCAGCAGAGGGCCTCGGCGGCATCATCAGGATTTGCTCACGTACCCCAGCTAGGTCATGCCGTTGTCAAGTCGTAACATGTCTAGGCACGCTTGTAATGGTCCTTCGGTGACCTTTCCCCAAGTCAGTGTGCACGTGGAAGCGAGGCCGCCATCTGTGGGCATTCAAAGTCGCTCTCCCGGGCTCTCAAATCTCGGACTGGCCAGGCACGGTCCATCGTGCACTGAACCGTGTAGATCCCTGACAGGAATCCTTCCCCTTCATCTCCTGAGACGCCGGCCGGAGCTTCAATCGCCTTCGCTTACTTGGAGTTTGTTCATGGAAGGAAGGCTCATGTGTTGCAACCTAGCTCTTTTCTTATGTGTGTATGTATGTATGTATGTATGTATGTATGTATGTATGTATGTATGTATGTATGTATGTATATTTACGATAGTATACATATATATATATATATGTGTGTGTTGTTTGTTTGTTTTTAAGTTGTTACAGACAGACATACATACGTACATAGACACATACTTACGTACATACATGGTTACATGCATGGGATGGGCTGGGATCGGGTGACGGATGATGGGTGGATGGTGGATGGGTGGATGGATGGATGGATGCATGTATGAATGTAACCGTGTGAAAGTATGACAATGGTTACACACAGCGAGCTCAACAAGACTGATAGCCAAACTGCTGTGGTAATGCAATAAAATGGTACAAGTATGTATGTATGTATGTATCTATGTATGTGTGCATGTGTGCTCATACTGTATACATATCTGAGTAAGTTTTCGTAACTGTATCATAGATAGGATAGATGATATGTGTATGTATATATATATATATGTGTGTGTGTACATAGATAGATAGATAGATAGATAGATAGATAGGTATATACATTAAAAAGTCCACACAGATGTGTGTACTGTTTTCCGTAGAAAGACATGCAGGACTTTTCTGTAGTAACTCTAAATCCAGAATGGGCTGCAGGGGGATTCCCTCCTCTGCCAATCTCGGCTGACTATATCTGTGGCTGTCAGCACGTGTGTAGTCGCGGCCACCATCATCAAAACTTAACCTTTAGCCTCTGCACCATGGACTAACGTCGTGAGTATGTCCCTGCACAGTACGTGAGGTCGCAACACAGCATGTAGCATGAGCATGAATAGTCATCTGACTTTAAGATGGCATCGCAGCAATACCGCCGAGGGTCCAGAGAATGAAGCACAGCATGGTCACGAGGAAGGTGTTCTGATATTCCCGCCTGGCGGGGAAGAACAAATCATTCTGAGAATCTGAGCTTTAGGGTTTAAGGCTTTAATTTAAAGAAGGATGAGAACGCCAGATAATGCCAGGGCCGAAGCTCGTCCAGCGTGAGCTTAAATTTAGTTGGGGGTGGGCCTTCAATCTGCATAAAGACAGGTCCCAAGCCAAGGCACTTCTCCACTCTGATCTGCGTCCTCTGGCAAGCCTGGAGGGAAAACCGAAACTCAACTCCCCTTGCATGCCGTCATAGCCCCAGGCAATTCTTGCAAATCGATGTCTATCACCTATCCACAACAACCTGCAATCAGGTTCTGAATCGGAACTGCAACCAGCCATTGTGCTTGAAAGATCCAAACTCTGAAATGCTGCCGCAAGGTGATACGACACATACATGATTACGACACACTGCATGTAAGGTCTATGTGTGTGCACATGTGTATCAGCATCAGGTCATCATCATATCACTGCTCTCATCACTGCTGCCATGCTTCATTCTTCATTCGCGGCTAGTCTCCGAAAATGTTAATATAGTACCCTACATAGTAGGATCCTTATTATAAGGACCCCAAAATAAGGTACCCCCAGCAGCATTCACCAGGGTGTGCCTCTGCTCGAGCAACTTGAAGACGCCAAGCACGGAAGAGGGGAAGCATATCCTCGGGCAGCCATGGGCACCGCGTATCGGACTTCACGGAGTGCAGATATCACGCTGCAGCGACACTTCTTCCTATCCGTCTTGGTTCATATTGTGGAACCTTGACGCATATCAGAGATCCTCAGCGGCACATCCCCTCAGAAGCAACCTGCTGGCTCTGTGATGGAAGCGTGTGCAGCTTGGCAGCGTGCTGCAGTCTCTGCCCTAAACACAACTTAAGGGTATGAACCCGGATAGCCCGGCCCGAAACATCCGATCGCGCTCGCGACTCTCATTGAGTGCTAGAACAAACAGCTCCATGTGACCGGAAACCGTCGGGAATACGACACAGACTATGATGAGATCCAAACTTGACGCTGTGCTGCCTTGCTCAAGCCTCCTCCCTCCGAACTCGGAAGCCGCAAGTGCCAAAATATCAGCCAGGATGCCTCCGTCGGACGGAAAAACCGAACCCAGCCTGGCTATCGCTCTTTGCATTTTGGGCTTGGCTCCGGCCCACAGCCGGCGCATAGTGGCTCTTCAACAAGACTTGCCCTAAACCTTACATTGCCTTACATCACATTTGCTCTAAACTTCTAAACCCTGCAAATCCCCGTTAAAGCCAACGACATCCCAGCAACTACCCCGCCTCTCTGAAATCTCCTCTTTTGGACGATCTTCTTCCACATCCCGAAAGCCAGGCCACGCCTTCCGTCTTCGGCCGTCTTAGGGTTTTTTCCCTCTCGCATTGCTTGGAAGTCTATGCCCGCTCGCGAGGGTTTAGGATTTTTTTCCCTCTCGCATTGCTTCCGTTTAGGGTTTATAGGGTTTAGGGTCCGTCTAACCAGTGGTTTTGGGGGTTCCCTTGGCTCTTCAGCTCCTTATTTACTAGGGATTCTGGCTCCGTAGCTCCTCCAATATCAATGGTTAGCCGTCTTAGGGCTAGAAGGGGTGGTGTTCTTAAAAGGGCGACTGTGAGGATTGTTAGGGTTGCGATATGGGATACCAGAGGGGCGCTTGATGGCCCGTGAAGGTTACTGTAGGTTTAGAATTCGGGTCCCAGATCGGAGACTCTGGCCTGGCTCCCCCGGACTAGTTACGGCTTAGATGGTTCTTAGTTTCAAAAAAATTCGAAGGTTCGGGCTCTCGGTTCCTTTGTTGATTTGGGGTTGGCGTTGCCAGGACAAGGGCGAAAAAACGGGCCCTGACTCCGATGCCTCGGAGGACGAAGCCCCGAAGTCTCGCGAAGAGCTGAACATTTAGTTTAGGAGCTTCACGATTAGAATAAGGTCTTGGGGTATTTGGGTCGATATTTGTAAAAAGGAACTAGATTCCGTTTAAACAAGGTCCTGGGGTATTTGGGGGGGGGGGGGTATATTTGTAAAAAGGAACCAGATTGGGTTCCCGGCCTGTTTTGAAGCTTTTGGCTGGGCTCAGGGGCCTCTAGGCCCTAAACCCTTGTTTGCATTCAAGATCCCTTAACCCGAAATATGTCCTTATCCTTCTGGCTTCATCCGTTTTGATGCATCTTTTCGTTGATTGGGAAACTAAGGAGATCCGAGGAGGTGACACAGGAGACTGGAAGGTACAATCATCTAAGCCGCTTTGTCCGGAGGTGTGTGTATGTATGTGTATAAATAAACAAATATATATATATATATATATATATATATATATACACATGTGTATATATATATATACATACATACATACATGCATACATACACACATTAAAACACAAATATACATACGGAGGAGGGAAAGAGACAGAGAGAGAGAGATAGAGAGAGAAGGAGAGAGCGAGAGAGAGAGAGAGAGAGAGAGAGAGAGAGAGAGAGCAAAGACAGCTCACATGCAAGCATCTGCCACTGCAGTCTTCATGATCCGAAGCCACACGTTCAACAGACGCCTGAGCTGCGGTCGGGCGGCGAGGCAAAAGTAAAGGCAGAGATGCAGTAGGCGATCGCTTGGCGTTTCGATGGATCCTCATCCCTTCGGAGGTTCTGTAGGAAAATGTATCCTCGGTGCATCTCGGCTGGGTGCATTCCGACTCTCGCACGCGCGCGCGCGCACGGCAGGCAAGGAAATTGCGGACTCTTAGACGGGAATACGACTCAGGGTTTTACGGCCGATTTGGGATTTAGGCTGTCGGAGCCTTAGGGGTTAAGAGTCATGACATTCTAAGCGCTGCTCTTCGTTCCGGACATCAGGCTTCAAGCGGTCTGAAAGTTCCCCTACAGAATGGTGCTTGTACCGGCTTTGAGGGCTTGTTTTGGAACGTCCGTGACGGGCTTCGTTGCGCCCTCAAAACTCAAGAACAGAAACAATTGCAGTCGGACTCTAAAGCCTGTGCGGCGGGGGGCTGTGCCAGCCCAAGAGCACCCATTGCAGCATCAGCACCGGCTGATCGTTAGCGAAGTGCGTCATAGCAGAAATGACCTGCGAAGGTTCAATCGACGTTCCTTACCACTTCTGTTTTGCGTTCATAATTCTTCCGGAGCGGCGAGAGTCCGCGGCGAGGCGTTCATAATTCACAAGCCCGCATCACCAACACAAGCCTCTCGCCGAAATTGCAGGAGTGCCTCCAGAACCCCAGAATCGCAAGCTTTGTCCTGATTGCCCGTGACTAACTACCAGTACGCATATCTGCCCACCCACGTCCTGGCGCGGCTGCGACGTACTGCATAAACCCACGGATGAAGGAGACTTATATACTGTAGTACAATAACAATGTTGGTGGTTGTCGTTGTGGTTGTGGCGTTGGGCGACACTTTCGATAGAGAGACAGTATATACAAATTTAGTGACATTTGCACTCGAAGCCATCATCCGCCAGAACGACAGCATCTTCATTGTCGTCATCACCGTCGCCAGCATCATCATCATCATTATCATCATCATCATCTTAAAGACTAATCCTCACCCTCGCTGTCAGTCACAATCGTAATCATGCGAGTCGTCTTCATTGTGCTCATCATCTGCAGAATTCAGCCTGCTCCTCGTCTTCATCTTCAGCCTCCCTGCATTTTTCGAATCTCCCCTAAACACTAAGCCGTGCACGCGTGAGCCCCCACAGGGGGGCCTCCCCAGAGGTGCCAGAGGCCTTGAGCTTGGCGGTCAGGATCTTGGCCTTCAAGCCTGGCTTTAGATTTTGCCCTTTTGGGAACAAAGGATTAGGGTTTAGGGGTTAAGGGGTTTAGGGTTTCAGCTTTTTTTTTTGTTTGAGGGCCCTTTTCCTCCTTGCTACAGTCGGAATACCTAGTAGGTGGAGCCTGGTATGAGGACCTGCATGAGACAGACAGGTAGATCCGTAGATAGCTTAAGAAATAGCGAGGCTAGGTAAGACGGTCTCTCAGATCCGAGGTGGGTTTCAGCTTTAGGGTTTAGGGTTTCAAGCCTGGCTTTAGATTGAAGTGTTGGGTTTCAGGTTATTTGGACTAGGGTTTTGTGCCGTTAGGGTTTAGACTAGGGGTTTTGACGCTCACACCCTGCAACACCAGCAGACAAACTGGGACAATGATGAAAAAGGTGTGTACTTGCTCATCCTGCTGTGGGTTTCGGGTTTAATTTGCGGGTTCGGCTCTCAACTTAGGGGCTTAGGGTTTGCGTCGGTGTGGACTGATTCGTCGCCCCGTTCGGGCTCACGCGCCAGCCAACGAAGGACAATGAAGGCTATAAGCCTGGACCCTCAAGCTACATCATGCGTCTGTCCACACATATCTCCGTCCGAAGGGCTTTCGACTTGGCTTACCCAGCGGCGGAAGATGCAAAGCTGTGTGACCTCAGGCCAGAATCATTGAGCTCGGCGAACTTGCGAAGAAACGGCCCAGCCATGCAAACCGACAGCCATCCGAGTGAAACGAGCCTCAAAGAACCACTGAAAGCTCATGCCAGTTCAATGATCTCCCCCATGAGTGAAGCTTCTATCTTTTTTTATTAGCCGCTTCGTGAGTGCGCAGACCTACAGCTGTACCGGAACCTTGAAGGAGAAATTTTCAAGCTCGTCTTGCTGTCCTGCTGTCCCAGCAACAGCCTCGTGCTCGGAAGCCATGAACATGAGCGCCTTCTCGACCTTCGTGTCGCGCTGGAGTCTGCCTCGAAGTCAGCATGGGCTTCATTCATGTCGCAAACCCTCTGCCCCTCAACATGGTTTGAGTCGCAACGGGCCAAGCAGCAGCTGCAGCGGTAGCAGTTGCAGCAGCAGCAGACGCAGCAAAGCATATGAGCATGATTTTCACTGCCTCATGCCTCATTGCGATTTCAGAATGAGGAAGATCGCTGACTAAAGATGAGCATCAAGATCGCTCGGTCGACGATGGCACGAGTATCAAAGTTGCTTCTACGAGATACTCTCATTGACAATAATTAGCTTAGCTAGAACATGTGGTGACAACAGACTTCGGCAACTGGGGGCAAACCTTCGGAATGACCTCGACCCACATTCGCTTCATAGCCACAGCCAGTCTGGGTTCGATGGGCGGCTCGCGCAAAATGTAGGTGCCCCAGAAGTGACAATCATAGCCGAGATACGCGTCAGGCCGCGCACCTCAGACTGCTGGCAAAACGGGCCGTGCATAATCATTTAATCCTTGCAGGCTGCGGTGCACGAGTCGCACTATGGTTTGTCTTGGAGACACCTGCAATTTGGCTCTTCGCCCGAACATGTCGGCTTCCCCTTCTGAGGAGAATGCTTGGGTCGTGCAGGCATGCTGGAAAGTTCACAACACAAGTTGCTCCCTGTCAACTGAGTCAACTCTGCACTACAGCAGCGATGATTGGACAAAGCGGAATTTAGATCTGAACCCTCACTTGCATTCAGCTAATGTAGGGGCCTTAATAATTACTATTACTAATACTAATTTGGGGTTCCGTATGGTTCCGTATTATAATTATAGTATAATGGGCACCACAACCCGATTCTAATTATTAAGGCCCCTATATTACTCCATGACGAGGGACCTTGTCTGCGGAGGCCACCCAGCTCCAGGCTTGGAAGATAGTTCTGATTTTCAGGCCGTCCAAGGACGGCGCAAAGGCCATTATGGCCTGGAGAGCTAAAATCTCAGGAGCCGGGGCAAGGGAGGCTTCGTTTATCACATGGTTTGGAGACAGTCCAATGCTTTCTACAATTCCAACTTGTGCAGTGCTGTCATGATTTATTGTTCCTGTTACTAGTTATATTCACACCTACCTACCTACGGACCCATCCGTACATGCCTGCAATCATATCTACAAAATACATGCACTCATCAAACAACATACATATACAACATACATCACATACATTACAACACATACCAGTACCAGTACATACATGATCATACATACATAAGCAACCACCCAACCTCATAGAATTGGGCGTCAGCATCATGGGATAAAGCCCGTAATTCGGGGCCTTGTGGTAAGACGCCTGCTTGCCTTGCATCTGCAGGCGGAAGGCTTGCATGCGCACCTCAGCTCGGGGGAGGGGTGGGGGCACTCCCCAGACCATAATCGGGCCCCATATAAAACCCCTTATAAAGGAGTCCAATAAGGTAGGGATATCCCTATAAGATGCCTATGCTGCCGCTTATGTGCTTTTTGGGTCCCTGACATATAGACTCAGAGAGGCCCAGGGCCAAGAGCCGCAGAAAAGTCGGTCACAGTTTGGTTAAGGGTTGAGGCTTTGGGCCTATCTGGACCCCCAAAGTATGTAGTATAGTAGCCTTTTATATGTGCTGGGCTATTGTTTTCCTTGTTTTGGGGGTTTAGGTAGGGGTTCCGGCGCTCACACTCGGACAAGCCAGGCGAGAATATTGGACCCAGGGGTTTAGGGCTCAAGGATTAGAAGGTAGATGTTTCCCTCTCGCATGGCTAGGGATCTATGCTGAATCTATGCCCACAAGCGAGAACCAATGGGGAGCTTTGCCACATGCTACTACAAAACTTTCCAGAAATAACGGCACAGGGAAAGTTATTCCATCAAGTCAGCTGTAGCAGATCTTGCAACCAAGATGGTTCAGTCAGCAGCCTTGAAGCTTTAGTCAACCTCATCATCCAAAAAGTGAGTATGGCAACCCAAACCTTGGAAAGGGCACCATCCCACTAATTGCGAGGAACTCATAACGAAAACCTCAGTACAATTCCATGCAGAATACGTTCAGCGTCAAGCTCACAGCCTCACATGTTGGCTTCACTACTCACTGCTCTGCACTTTCATCTGGTCTTGTCCAATTTCGGAGGCAAAAACCTCAGGAGGTATAATGCAACTTCTCTCAGAGTCGCCTCACGCTGTCGACCACAACCGCAAAAAAAACTTCAGGCTCCCTGGGCCCACTTCCAGCCTGACTTGCACTGTTCCACCCAGTTCCGATGCTGGCACAAAGACTAAGACTTACCCAGTCACCCTAAACCCTAAAGGCTAAACCCTAAAGGGGTTTAGGGTTGATTAACTTATGGATCCTGGCCTCCGTAAGTGCTTCCGTCCAGGACCGAAATGCAAAGTGCAGCGCAGCTTGCGTCGAAGAGTAAAACCATCTCCTTGGCTTCAAATCAGTGGGTCGGCGCATGTTCACGACAAGTTGAGGTGTTGCCATAGCTTGTTTCTAGAGATTTTCTACCGGGGGCCGGCATTCCGTCCCTGCCACTGACATACCTGTGATCTTCTGTGCCTCCTAGGAGTTCTTCCTTGAAGTAGTTGAGCTCTCCAATCTCAGCTCGGCTTGACGCTCCGGGGCTTGATATCTGCATTTCAAGCCTACAGCTTCTGGAAGGTTCAATGTGCCAGAATGCATGCCCGGAGTGATCCCAATCCTCCTAAATTTACCCTTTGCCAGCCAGCGACTGCAGGGTCTGTCGCACCTTCATCTGTGCTCGCCCCTCCCACATCCTTGACTGCAAAAATCATTCACCAACATGTGCTGTAGGCTGACGAGCTTCGAGGCTACAGTAGCAGCGCGTTTGAGCTTGGGAGGGCTAATGATCGCAAGGCTAGACTTATGTTTATAAGTATATTTATTATACTCAAATATGTTGTAACTTGTTATGTTACATTATACTACATTATACTATGTTATTATACTTTTCTATATTTTTAACGGCCTGAGGCCTGCCTGTCCCTGCTTGTCAATGGGGGCTCCGCGTCCGCGGCTGCACGCGGCCGATGGCAAGCCAATGCTGGGATGAAATCGGGGTATGAGCCCATTATACTATAACACAATAACTATAATATGGAAGCCACAAATTAGTGTAGGCAATTACTACGCCCAAAATAGTAATTATAGGTAGTTATATGAAGCCCACAAGCTATGTCCTGATGAGCTTTTAAGGCGAGGGGCGTATACCTGCCCATTATACTATAACACAATAACTCTAATATGATATAGGACCCTAAATAGTAGGTCCCTATTATAAGGACCCCAAAATATGGTACCCCCCCCCCAAAAAAAAATATAGGAAATTACTACGCCAAGGCGAGGGGCGTATACCGGGTCTGCCAAGCCCAGGCCGCCAAAGCCGAGGTCTTCAATCCTCGGTTTCGGTGGGTCCGCAGCTGCGGGAGTTTCAGAAAATTAGGGGGTACCTTACTTTGGGGTCCTTATCATAGGGATCCTACTATTTAGGGTCCTATATTAGGATCTAGAGGGTACCATATTTTGGGGTCCTTTTGGGGTCCTTATACTAGGGATCCTACTATTTAGGGTCCTATACTAGGATCCCCCTATTGGCGGAAACCCGCAGGTCGCGCTTGATTACTTCAGGCCGGGTTTGTTCGGATGCTTGTTGGGGATTGCCACCCGTGACAGCTATGGGCCATCGCTGGCACGGTTCGCACCATGTGTGAAGGTGGCCACGGCATCGACAATCTTCTCCAACTATGACCCCCAAAACTCTGAATGCCATGCTCTCTTCCTCAATTACAAAGCCCCAAAAAAGTTCAAGCGTTTTAAGATAAACCAACTGATGGCAAACAAGTTTGAAGTTCTCCGCCGGGCTAAGTATGAACCTGCCATTCAACACCTCGCTAGCCACTGCTCTCGGTTGAGCTGTGTGAGACATGTCGCCGTGCTCCAACTCGCGGCCCCAGGCGATCGTGGCCTCGAGGGTGCGCAAATCCAAGCATGAAACTGCGACATGTGCTCAAGATCTACATGATGTGCTGAAAAAAAAAGGTGGAGATGTATGTATGCGTGCATGCATGCATGCATGCATGTATGTACGAACGAATTGTATGTTACTGTATGCACGGTAGTGTATGCAATGTATGTATGTCTTTCTGTCCATCTCTGTATCTCTGTCTGCCTCTGCCCCTCTGTCCATCTATCTGTATGTCTGCATGCCTGTATGTCTAATGCCGGTGCATGTAACGACTATAGGTGGACAGCAATCTAGACCCCGTCTCTGTCCACGTTCCGACTGACCCTTGCTCCACCGAGACCCACACCCCGGTGTAAGAGAGGCAAGAGCTAAACCAGGAAGCCCAGAGTCATGCCCTGATTCCGCAAAACCTGCGCCCCAAGGCACCGTCTCTACCCGTCCGAACACCTACGCATACCGTAGGCCCTTTAGGGCCCAGACCTAAACCCTCAAGTCTCAGCATCACCCGTAAGATCGCCTGATCCAAAGAGTGGAACCAGCGCTGCTGCAGTTGCGTGCGCATCTTCTCAGCCTGGAAGCTCCGACCATAGCAAAGCAAGGATAATAGCAAGGAGAGTGAAAAGCACTTGCAGCAGCAGCAGCAGTGGTGGTGGTGGTGGTGGTGGTCGTAATCATCAGAGCAACAATGATGCCCATAATCTTACCTAACAACAGTACAACCAATACTGACTTCAAAACAATTATAGCAAGTTATAACAATAGACGTAACAATAGAACAACACATTCCAACGCAACACACATCAGAACTGTACTCGGGAATGTCAGTTCCAAAGTTGAGGCTGTGCGAGCTTCGTGAGGTCCGACTTGCAACGCTGTCACGACCAGGCGTGCCCGATCCAATATAGGAGCCACAGATAATACTCAGAACAGGGTTTGAGGCCACAGCAGAGTAGAAGGTAGAGGCCTTAATGATTAGAATAGGGTTTTGGGGCTTCTCATACTACAATTATAATAGGGAACCCCCCAATTAGTAGAGGTACGCATTCTGGCCCCTATAGTAATACAACCCAAATTCTTGGACCTCACCCTACGGCGATCTTTTGACAATCGAGGAAGCACTTGGGCACGCCAAGTTCAAATCCCCAAGAAACACTGCTTTCATATTGGGGGGGCTTTCCGAAAATAGAGGACCCTAATATAGTTTCCTAACAAGTAGGATCCTAATAATAAGGACCCTGAAAATAAGGAACCCCCTGTTTCGGAAACTTTCATATCGACTCAATCGGCTCCGGCTTAAACCCAACCCCACACACAAAATCGTAGAACCTGTACAGCCCTAAACACTGAACCCTACATCGCTAGTATGGTTAGTTGCATTGTATTACAATCCGCTTGAAGGCTCCTTGGGATCCGGCCCTCAGTTCGAGAATGCCGACTCTCCAGTCGCGAAGACATTGATGCAAGGATACCAGAGTCGCAATCTTGCCTGCCGCTTATCGAAACAGGGTGTATAGGTTCTATACATAGTATTCAGAATGTCGATGAGGCCTCACGAGAATGTGTGCTACGACGTCCAGGGCTCTCGCGCTAAGAAAGCCAAATTATGTCTCGGTTGGCCAGCTCACCGTAAGCTCTTTCATGCCATGTCAAAGACATGGCGTGTGCACGCTCCCAAACTGCTGTGCGAATGCGTAAGCGGAAGCACAGAACCTTCCACGAAAAGACTTCATGCCCAAGTAGCACGCACCTCTCCAACAGCTCGGACACTCGGTTGACCCGGCCTGAGATGCCTCGCGCTTTGATGATCTGGTTGGCTTTCCGCTTCCACTGGTCGAAGGCCTCTTGTCGGGCAGGGCAGGTCAAAGGCGGAGTCCCGGATCAAAAGTGTTTATGAGTAGGTACCACTTAGGAACCATATCATCGGCTTCCCCAAAGGGCCACCTAGTCATGGATTTCCACGAACATCTGAGGCTCTCTAACAGTATTCATCAGCTTGAGGAAGAAAACGCGGATCGAAACTCCACGGCTGAGTGCCTGTCGTGTCCTCATGGCGGTGAGCTCGCGATCCCACATCCTTGGATTCTTCAGGCTCGACGGAGGAAACTTAGCCTGACAAGGTCAGACAGTGCAAGCTATCAGAAGAGCCAAGCATCCAAAGGGCCACGGTCATAATCGGATCTTTTGCCAGCTCCTTTCATAAAGCAGGCATCAGCTTCATTCGGACATATCGAGTTCGCGTCAAACTTGCCATAGGTCTGAAGCCATCATATTCTATATTCTTGAACTTGGCACGAAGCTTTTGAAGTCGGTGAGGAAGCAGAGACCCCCGTGGCTTATTCTCGGCCCGAAGCTGTCCGGCTTTAATAAAGTCTTCAGAATACATGGGAGTTTCCGAAAATTAGGGGTACTTTTTTGGGGGATCCTTACAATAAGGATCCTATTATTTAGGGTGCTATATTAGGGGCCCCTCTTTTCGGAAACTCCCACATGGAGCATGTCAAACGCTGACGGGCTGCTTACCGAAGGACGACAAGTTTGACAACAATGGCTGTTCGTGTCTCAGTTAACGTTGCACTTTGCTTTGTATGTAGGCGTTGAGGAACCAACGCAGAAACCACTGCAACCACTGCAGACCTCTTAAAATGAAATCCTAAGCGGCTTTATCTCACGAAAGCCTTGAACCTTTAATTCTTTAGTCTTTAGTCGTAAGTTTGCTCTGTGCACAACGTCTTGCGACTCGCCACAAGCGGCGCCATGCCTTCTTGACATGCTTCTTCCAGTGCTTCATGTCCTGCGGCCACCAAGCACCAAGCTACATGCACATCTGTATATGCATAAACCATATTTATATGCATACAAGCGTGTGTGTTTACGATAGCACAGGAAAGTAACAGTGGGCAAAAGCGGCCACGCAAAGCGTTTGGTAATTTTCGAACAAAGATCCAATCAGACAAGTGTTTAAGTCACACAGATATATAGAATCGACACAACATGGTGTACTGCATAACATAAGTTTGCCCGAATAAGCAGCTGCTACCAATACATGTCACCACTATATGGTCACTTTCATGTCCGAACTCTGACAGACAAATCAAAAAATGACGAAAGCGCTGAGGCTGCAGTATGGTAAATTCTTATAGGGTCTAACATACTGAGAGTTATATAAGGTATATAAATATGTGTATGTATGTATGTCTGGACTCTACAATGTAAAGCCGTCTCGGTTGCTGTCTGATCACAAGATCCTAACCATCGAGTAGGCTATCCAAACAAAGGCACCCGCATTCGAGTGTCTAGGTATCTCAGGATCATGACTCCAGCAAGCGTTGCTGCTTCCCGCCATTCCTTTGGTCTGACCATTGTAACACTTTGGTAACTTTCCCGACAGAATTCTTAACGATTTAAGGCCCCCGCATTGTCGGGTTTAGGTTCTTCATTCATGGAAAGGTTTCAGGGCTGAAGATACTTTCGTCCACGGTCCCCCGAGCGTATGCGCCTCCTCACAGCGCTTCCGTTCTTGCACCAAGGTATCCTTGAGCTCCTGCTCTCACCGGCAAAGGGAGCGCACACGCAGAGGGCCTTACTATAGGGGCCTTAATAATTTACCTATACGATTTTTTTGGGGGGTCCCTATTGTGATTAAAGAATAATGGGAGCCCAAGCCATATTCTAATTATTGAGGCCCCTATTTTATGGATTTCGGTCCGGTTCTTGAGGTCCTCGCAGTGTTTTGATATCTCTAGCCTTCGATTACCAGTTCGGGGACCGTGCACTCAATCCCTACTACCAAGACTGCAACACAACATGCCACATACATATACATGAACATGTACATTAGATATCACATATATATATATATATGTACATTAGTCATATTTATATCTATATTTATCTGAGTATTTTCTATAGGCATATATATATATATATACTATGCACATATGCCAAGTCCATATGTGCATATATGTACAAACATACGTTGTATACACATGCAGCGAGCGCCCCATCGGCCGGCTCCCACCTGTAGCTCTTGCTGGTGCTCGGCCGTCTTCTCCAGGAGCACCTGTGGCTGCTGGAGGTGTGCCGACTTCTGTAAATATTATAAACGATAACCATTCATATAGATATATGTGTGTGTGTGTGACGCATACTTTTTGTGTGTATATACAAAAATATGTGCAAATATATATATATATATATATATATATATATGTGTAGTATCAGCTAAAAATTTTAATGTACGTATGTATGTATGTATGTATGTGTGTATGCGTTGTATGTATGTATGTATTGCGCACAGTATGTATGTGTGTGTACATGTGTATGTAAGCATGTATATGCCATAAGAAAGCCTTTGGCAGCAATCACGTGACAAGTAGCACAGTAAAACGGCAATGAGCAGACGAAAACTGAAGAACGTATGGGCAGGAAAGTTACCGGTTGTAGCACACGATTTTTGTTTTGGAGAAAAGGCTGGGTAATCCAAAGCACGTAACCGTTGAAACGACAGGGTTCGTGGAATCATGCTGTGCAAAAAAAACCGCATAGACCACATGGTAAGAGGATAGTCTAAACCCCAAACCGAACCCTAAACCGTCTGATTCGACCCCTAAAAGGAGAGCCCAGGCCTGAAGCTAGGCTGCGTAGGGTGGTGCAATGCATCTTACACGCTGCCCCACAAAACCTAGTAGGGCAGTGTAACCCGAAACTTCAAACCTCAACCTGGACTGAAAGTTCTGCAAGTTCAGGCTCCGGATTCCGGATATAGAATATGTAGGAGCCTCAATAGCCACAATAGGGTTTGGAGATGCAGTGTCGTATGCATATGAATGGCTTATTGTAAAGGATTATGAGGATGGGGTATTAATAATCTTTACGACCCCTAGCGAGGCAACGAGGGTCAGAGGCCGGCCTTGTTGTAGTAAAGTATCTCCTTCTTGGAATTCGCCACCTGAGAAGGCCATCTTGAGTGATACAGGGGGCTTGGTGGTTTTGATGGGGCTTTGAAGGCATATTCTACTTGCTATACGGGTACTACCGGCGCCATACGGGGATTGGAAGGGCGAAGGCAGTAGAAGGGATTCTCAACGTACTCGTGGCCCTGGTATGCTTAGCTCATTGCCTACGAGGCGGTGAAGAGATTCTGACAAGCTTGCACATGACAGCCGTTCTCGTGAAATCCACAAACTTCGGCAAGCCTCAAAAAGCATGCGCTGACAGGCATGCAAAACGAGGTTTTGTGGGGGAGAATAAGCCTGGCGAGCTCTCGAACGCCTGAAGATGCTCAGAACCTGCAATGATTATACGCCTCCAAGCCATCATCGCTCTTTATGGAAACTGGGCCTTCTTCCGAGTCATCCCATACTTCGCCCCTTAGGCGAGCCGCCACCAGTTTGAGGGTTCGGATCTCTTCCTGCGACGTGACCGCAGCTTTGCCCGAAGCCTCGAGTGGAGTTGCTGGTCTTTGAAGCTTTAAGCTTAGGGCGTTGAGGGTTGAGGAACTGTATTACGGTGAGTCTGGGGTTCAGGGCTTATGATAGGATCCAATGTGTGCGGGTTTAGCTGCTTGAAACCCATACATGTCACGGTTTCTAGCTCGAGTTTCACAGAACCGAAAGTTATACACGAAAGATATCACAGCCTAGGGCCTGAAGTCAGCCAAATATTCAATTTCTCAGCGCTGAGCGCTTCGGACTTCGGACTATGTTGCATCGAAAATCCGTGAGGAAAACCGCAGTCAGCCGATAAAGCTTCAGCGGTCGGCGTTGCACACGTCATCCGTCTCGGCCATGTTACCGGAGAACTGCAAGATGCAACAGTAAGATGCACCAGAGCAACAAGTACTTAGATGTACATACATACCTACAGACGCAGATAGAGACATGCACACAAACAAACCACCCCCCCCAATGGTATCCCTCCCCCCCCCCACCCCGCAATGGTAGCCCACCCACCCTGCCCGCCGCCCCCAACCTGGACCTTGTGCGCGGATCGGGAGTGTCGCACTATGCCCTGCCGTGTGCGGAAAGCGGCAATCGGGCGAGTAGTTTCCAGCATCTGACATGAATTGCACTGCTGAATTATGAGGGTTGTATGGCGATGGTGATGGTGGCAGATATTCTTTTGAAGGTATTGATGATGAAGATGCCGACGACAAGGATGATGTTGAGCATGGTCTGATTGTCGACTCATGTCCCGGTCTAGAGCAGCACAACATCATGAGCAGTATCACCGGTGCCACAGCAAGAGGGAAGACAAGGAGTAACACATAAGAACGTTGCGGCAAAAGAGTACCACCACAGGCCCCGCACCACAGGGGGGGCGGGGGGGGAAGGGGGAGGATACCATGGGGTGGGCGGGGGAGGGGGGGTGTGGCAGCCCTGCATCATATATAGCATATATAGTATATATAGTATATATAGGCAGATAGGCAGACAGGCGGACAGGCAGACAGCGGGGAGGGCAGGGCAGGCCGGGGCATGATGGCAGGCAGGGAGGCAGGTAGGCCGGCCGGCAGCACCCGTCCATACGGTGTGTGCATAGCGTGAACAATCGCTCGTTGCGTGCACAAGCACGCCGATTGAAGAGGTTCGTACGTGATCGGACACCACAACTCAACAGCCAATCATGCATCCCCATGGAGACTGCCAGCTTCGAAAACAAGTATGCGCTAGCTAAGTGCGAAGTGTGTTGTCTCGACTGCGCCTGCCCATAGAAGTGGGGAGATGCCCACAACTTGATGGACGCGAAGTCGTTCATGGGTGCTTCGGTTCAAGTGATGTTCTCGTGCTTCAACATCTACGCAACTTGTTTTAAGCTCCAGGCGCTATAAAGCCGTAAGCTCCAAGCGTCATAAAGCGTTGACCCTAGGTAGGCAGCCTTTAAGTCTACGAAAAACCTTCAACTTAACTTAAGCGCCCGCAAACCCTGACCCTTCAGGTCTAAAACTTGTTCCCTATAAGTCGGCTTAGCCCTTGACTCTCTGAGCCCTAGGCCCTTGAACCCGAAACCTAGCTAGAACAAACCCTGAAACCTAAACCTATTTTAGCACTCGCACTCGAGCAATTCAGACGAGGTTTAGGGCGACAGCTTCGACCGTACTATAGGGGCCTTAATAATTAGAGTAGGATTTTGGGGCTCCTTAGTCTTGCTATAGTATAATATACCCCCAAGCCCTATTCTATCTATTAAGGCCCCTACATTACGCTCCCTTGTAAAACCTCAGGCTTTCCAAAACGAGCTAAATTGGGTAGCTTTCTAAATTAGGGTCCCTTGTGGAATCCTTTTTGCAGGGTGCCGTACTATATTGGGGTCCTACAAAGGGACCCTAGTCTAGAAAACAATCCAAGTCCAGGTTGATGCAAGGCACATCTGGCGTCGGGCTCACACTCCTGAGCAATGGCGGCGGGCTTCTGAACACATACTAAAAGTAAAAACAAACATGAAACTACCAACGCAATATAATCATCACCCCCCCAAGAATAAGAAAGATACTGTATTCATAGGGGAAAAACCAAAAAATGATAATGATAATAACAACAATAACAGCATAACTAATAATAGTAATCACTCAAAGTAATAAGAGGACTGGCAATTGCCAAAAAAGAAGAGTAGCAGTAATAGCATTAGTAACATGAAGAACAACGCAAAAACACACAGAGCAGACACCGTAATAACAGATACTAACAATGATAGCACTAGCAGTAGCAGCAGCAACCTTTTGTTAATGACAATAATACTCGGTGCAGGGTTTTAGGGCTTTGGGTGTCGAGGTTCAGTGTTTTGGGGCTTGGAGTTTGGAGGTTCAGACGGTTCAGGGTTTGAAGTTTGAGGTTTGAGGTTTGTTGGTGCAGAGTCTAGAGGGCTTCAACTGTCCGGCTGGGTTCTAGAGGTTTCGGGATTCTAGGCGGGGATGCATGCATTCCTATTTTGAGATATACCCGTGAGACCAGCATCTCTTGAGAACTACCGTCAGAAAAAGCAGAAAGAAGCCCGAGTCAACCCCACAGTTCTTATCCCCAGTTTTCAGTTCAGAAGACAGGGGGCGGGGACGTCTGCGTCGCAGCACAGCTCACCTCTTGCTCTCTGATGATGCTGCAGTTCCTGAGCGGTTCGCACTGCCAGAACTAGATTTTGGTCAGTTAACTGTGGTTTCCGCCGCGACAAGAAATGTGCCAACAGCGAGGGAAGATCCAGTCAATAAGCATAAGCCTCAATCTATTTACAGCCTTACCCGACACCGGAGATCAGACCACTTAAGCTCTGAAGCCCTTAACCGCCTTAACCCTTAAGTACACGCTACACCAAAACCTGACCAGGCTCGGCCACTCTGGCAATTCCTCGACTTCCTCACGCGGCACGCGAGGCACGGAGACATTGTGGGTCTTTCTGCAACACATCTTTATGACACATGTCTGCGTCATAAATCAAAGTTTGTTCAGATAGCTATATGTATAAACATATATGTATATGTACATTCAACTGCACATGCATGGGGTGCGACAGTCATACAGGACACAGATGTATACATGGACATGCGCGTGCTGCTGTGTTCTACAAGTGCCGCTTCAGTACCAAAACAAGCTAGTCAATACAGAACATGTCGGCGTGGTCGTCCGCATCACGTTGGGGATCCTGACTAAACGGATGGTACCGATCATCATTATCACCAACATCGCCACCACAATGGCAGCATTACCGCTGCCTTAATCAGAGGCTTCAGGTGATGATTGCCTTGCCCAGCATTGTGCCTTGAAGCAAGCTCCCTCCGCAAAAAAACACAGGAATATAACTATATTCTTTGCACAACCCGGGTCCCTCCTCTATGCTGGGCCGACAGTAGTTCAGATGGACTGTAGACTTCGGGAAGCCCACTCACCATCACCCACCTCGGCAAAACCCGAAAGAAAACCACACAACATAAACCGAAGACCGGCGAACCAGCGCACAAGCAAGAAAATAGACTGCCCTGTAATCCAAACACTCAACTTTGTAATCCTATCCCCCTATAGCCTCCTAACTACGCTACAAGTTGCTCCCCAAATGTTAAAATCCCCGGGTGCCACCTCGCGTTCGTAAGGCCCCGGGGTCGGTGTGCCGCCGGTGTCGGGTGGCGGAGACTGGGCCGGAGTGTAGGCCTCGCAAGGTAGTGGGGTCAAGGGCTTACAAACTTGAGGGTTTAGGGTTTTAAGGAGAATAATCGGGATAACATGTTGACAACCTACACCCTTATGATTAGACTTGGGATTTGGGAACATGTCATAGTCGAGGTATGAAGTGGGGGGGATATGGCTATTCTCGCACACTTAACATTTCCGATTCTGCTAAAAAACCAATGATCTGTGTATGGTAGCAGCACGCGTGGCTAGGCCGTGACCTGCGCAGCAAGTTGGCAGACAGCGTGCATGCTGCGTCAAGTAAGGACTTCAGAAAAGGACTACTGCAAGCCTAAACAAACGAATATCAGACTGATATGCAATCCTGGGGTATGCTCGCTGACGGAGAACATCAGCGCAACGTACTTCATGCCCTAATTTGAAGAGCTGCCTATGTGGTCGGATCGGAAACTCCGCAAAAGGCAGGTGAACAACTATGGTGAAGTCTGCCCCCAGCACACCGTCCTGGCATCCATGGGCATGTATGAAACAACAGAATCTCACTAATCCTGGCGGCTCGCCACAATCCGATGAACATTCATGTAAATTTCTATTCACCTTTGTGTTTTGTCTAGGGTAAAAACGACATACTAAACAAACTAAACATATCAAAAAAACTAGCATGGCAAACACACAGCTAATGGAACCCTTGTACAGAACGTTTATTGGACCTATATGTCTATCTGTACACACACACATATGTATATATGTGTGTATATATATATATATATGTGTGTGTGTGTGCATGTATATGTGTATATATACATACAGGATTTAGAAGCCTTAGATCAACACGCGGGGGCCTCAGTCTCGTCTCTGTTGGCCCGCAGGGCATCGTCGTCAAGATCCTGCATCTGGTTTGGGGTTTAAGGTTTCGGGTTGTTTAGGGCTATAGGGTTTAGGGTTGTTTAGGGTTACTCGGACATGTCCAAGGGTTTAGGGTTTTTCAGGGTTGGGGCTGGGGTGGCTTTTTTGGCCTCCTGCATTCCTGGACGAGTCTCTAGCTTCTCTAGTTTATGGTGGTTTGGGGTTGCGGGGGGCTGGGGTTCCACCCTTAGCCGGCGTCTCAAAGGAGCTGCAAGCACTTAAATTCCGGTGGCTCCCGATACTCAGCCCCGCACCCCTGCAAGCAAGTCGGGCCAAGTACATTTGTACAACACATGAACTTCTGCGGTGCACTTCTGCCTGCTGTGAGGGTAGTGTGATCACTTGTGCCGAACTCCCAGCGGCCTGATCCTGCTCTTCCAGGCACTGTTGGAGGAGTTCGTCAGCGTCCTGCCTAAATGAGGTCCGGCAAGTCGTAGCTTGTTGACTAGATGCAAAGCTCCACTCCGACAAACCCCTTTGTGCGCATGTCCCCGGCGAGTCTGTGCTTGTGACACGTCGGCCAAGCAAGGCATCCGGCGTACTGTCACTGCAGCAAAGGTTCCCCTCGGCCACTGCGATACCTGCAACAAGAGCGAAGGCTGGACTATATCTTTGAGCCCGGAGCTACCATGGAGATTGCAACCGGACTGTAAGAATCTGATATCAAAGAAGATCAGGCTAAGTAGGCAATGAATGTCGCAATAAACTCACACTCGCACAGACCGGAGTCGTGCACAGAGCAGATCAAGACTTTTCGGACCAGTAGCCTGGTTAGAACCTTTCTGATCCTGAAATGAACCCTAAACCCCACAGCCTCAAAAGAAGCCTGATTGATTGGAACCATTGTAAGCCTGAAACCAAGATAAACCCGGCCCCAGCCCAACCCAAAACACTAAACCAAACCCAACATCCGCGGCTCCTCCCGACGTGCCCGCGGTCTTCGCGGGCGAGCCGGCGGCGACCCGCGGCCTGGGTTTGAACTTTTTTGCAGGGGGGGGGGGGGGTGTTTAGGGCTTTAGGGAATACTTTTTTTTGGTCTTCCTTTCAGGTAGGGCTGGTATTCTGTCGAAGTGTATCTGCCTGCTGCTTGTCTGTTCCCTCGTAGAAGAATTCTCTGTGCGAGCGTCTGTCTCCACGGGTGAAACTGAGCAAGCCCGTGTAATGCTTGTGCCCATGAATGCATGCGGCATGCATGAAAATGTAGCACATGGAGGTTTCGAGAGAGAGACAGAGAGAGAGAGAGAGGGAGGGAGGGAGAGAGGGAGGGAGGGAGGGAGGGAGGGAGGGAGGGAGAGGGACGCAGAGAGACCCAAAAGCAACAACAAAAACACACACACACACACAACATGTCAACACAAACAATGAACCAAGAGAGCCTTGTTGCAGGGTTGTGGCACTATGGGATACTAGTATGGTGAAGGGTGCAGACTTCGGGTCATATGTGCTACTGTGTGAAGTACGTAGCCGGAAATTCCGAATAAAGACTTACGACCTCTGCATGACTTAATTACGAAAGACCCTGACAAGCCCATCGCCTCGCGACAGTTGCAAACTATACCGTCTGAGTGAGGCTTTCAACGACAACCAAATGCAATTGTCCAAATCTACCGTCTGCTACGCCAAGTTGCCGAGCTTGCGCTGCTCGTGGCTTGGTATGCGCGGCCGGGCCGGGTGCAGGAGGTTTCGATTTCTGGGATGGATCGGTCTCCGCCTCCGCCATCGGAACCGCCCCCGTGCTCGGCTCCTCAGATCATGTAGGCGGCTTCCCATGCAACGAAACACTTGTCTGCAGGTTTGCGTTTCCACTGCGCCCAAGCCGAAACACAGACCACGAATTAGGACAGGCCCTTTGCCGGCTGCACTGCATGACAGCAGCCGTTGCAGGGCTGCTGCGCACAGCGGCATCGGCGGTTTCCGAGATGCCTTAGCTTCATGCTGGTGTAATGTCGAAAATTATAAGCTCAGGGTAGAGCACCGCAACAAACTTCTCACGTGATACAGCTTGCCGACGTCCGGTTTGAGGTAACAGGGGTGGAATGCACAGCACCTTTTGCTCCATGGCGAGAAGATGATCGGTCGACCGAAGAGTACTAGCCATTGCAAGCATCAATCAAGCATCCGTGAGCCGTGCACTGTTACCCTACACCGGTTTTGAAGGGGCTGCAGTGCCCTAAGCCCAAAACCATGCTCTGAAGCTCATCTCTACCAGCTGAAACCCTGAACTCTCAATGCCGACCCTGTTTTTGAGGAGGGGCTGCAGAGCGCATGCCCCCCCCCCCCCCCATGGCCAGCCTCCTGCACTGCACATATCCAAGCTCCAGAAGCCTACTCTAAACTCCACGTCTACTCTAAGCCCTATAAACTCCGGAGCCCTGACCCTAAACCCTGCACCCTGAGCCTTGTATCAATGCTACATCGCTACGTCGCTCTCCCTTCGAGTCTTCCCTGTACTGAAGCTAAGCGGAAATGAACGACCGGGCGCTTGGAAGATCGGCTGTCGACGGAGAACTCCTGGGCCTCAAATCTCGGGTTTGTCCGTGGATGTTGGAAGATTTCATTGAGCAATGTTCAGGGTGGTTTTTGAGGGTTTTATGGTGCATTAGTGAGTGTTATAATCGCAACTTCCTTAAACGAGATTCTTTCTTTCGCCAGGGCTATGGTGTAGGGGTTTGCCCCCCTACACCGCGCGCATGTGCGCCCCCGACTGTTGCGGAGGAGAAACTATGGCTGTCCTCCAACCACGGCTCTGGTCAGTTAAACGAGATTCTCTCTCTCTCTCTCTCTTTCTTTCTGCAGGGCGTAGGGGTCGTGCGCGCCCCCCAGGCCATAGGCCCGCCCAGCTCACCCCCTGTGTTTATGGAGTGGCTGGCAACGGGGTCTTTCCTGACTACAAGCACTAGGTTTAAGTCGCCCCAGCTGGCGTAAAGTCGCCCCAAGCCCGCGGCACACGGCGTGGGAGTGAAGTCACCCCAGCGGGGTGATGTCAGCCCAACAACAGCTAAACTATAGCCATTCCGCAAGGGCACACGCATTTTTGGGGTGTTCGCCTTTTGCACCTGAAATGCCGCGTGCCGTGCGGTGGGTTGGGAAGCACTTCAATGCCGGAATTACACGTCACACCAACCTTAATCCCGAAGGTGACGCTGGATTTTGTTGGTCGTTGCCAACTTAACGAAACCTAACGAAACCTCGCGGAAAACAGTGTTCTCGGCACGGACTGCTGCCATTTTGCTACGGCATTGACGCGTTTTGGTAGCGAATCACGAAGGTGACGCTGGTTTCTGTTGTTGCACTACTGCAGCTGCATCTATCATATCTTACAACAATTTCACCAAACATACACCACAAGCTCGTCAGACACCATCTAGACGCAGTGAGATGGTAGAAAACCTATTCGATTCTGTATTTGCCTGGAAAACCTATTCACAGCAAACAGCACATCAAAACCAGCCATTCCGCATGTAGATACTCGATTTGCCGCCGTTTACGAAATATGTTAGACCTCAGTGGCATCGCAGCAAAGAGCAAATCAAAACCAGCCATTCCCCAAGTACAGGCTCGAATTTGCCAAGCAGCCGCTCAAGAAACACATCAGTGGCATCGCAGCAAAGAGCAATTCAAAACCAGCCATTCCCCATGCAGACGCACGATGTTGCAAGCAGCCGCTCGAGAAACACATCAATGGCATCACAGCGAACAGCAGATCAAAACCAGCCATTTCCCATGTAAACGCTCCATTTCGCAAGCACCAACTCCAGACACAAGTGGCATCACAACATGTATCCAAGATCAAGGAAAGACCGCGCACAGTACTGGATCGCGCAGAAAGCAGAGACTGGATAAGAAACAAGATATGGTAGAGGTATGGGAAAACTAACCCAAACCCTGCGGCACATGGAGTTGGGATGCCAGCAGGGACGACTTAAACCTAGTATGGCAGAGAACTACGCAGTTGGCTCCTGGTTTTCGTGCAGAGATCCCCGCCTAGAACACTAAACCCACTCTAAACCCCGTGCGTCCCGGCCTCTCTCTCTCTCTCTCTTGTTCTCTGTCTCCATGGTTGCGTCGTCGTGCTAGTTTTTTGTATCGCAAGCTCGTTTGCACCGGGATCGGGGACAGAGATCCAGTGAGTGAAAGCGCATGCCGAGCCAAAACATGTCTTCGTGCGGTACCCATCACGCTCCTTCTTCCGCGATTTGTGTGGTCTGTGCATGCGACTGTTCGTCTTGAAGGTTTGGGATATGTGTCACTGCACTCGTTCACTGCATGTTTTTCCTGAGAAACAATCGAGCCAGCTGGCAAGCCTGCCTGTAGCTTGTTTCCTCCGGTTTGCACCGACCAGATGTATAACAGCTGCCACCAACGGCTACTCAGCAGCTACTCACGTCTTTCTGGTTACTACGAGAGGCCTTGCGAAACCTTCCAACTCTGCCAAGAAGCATTAAGCATCCAGGCCTACTCTCCATTTCTCCAAGCAATCCATGGCTGTTCTCGCCAAGTCGCTGAGCTTGGGCTGCCCGTGGCTTCGTATGCGCCGCAGGACTGGCTGCGGACGCTTCCGGCGTCTCCGATGCATCGGTCGGTATTTCCATCGGAACCGTCTCTGGGCTTCCGGTGTGCGGTGGCGGGGAAGTTCCCGGGCGCTCTGCCGGTCCCAGGCTGCCTGTGTGCGGTGGCCCCGGTGGGCCGCCCGGTGCGCCGGCGGCTTCTGCGGAGCTGTGGCCAGGCAGCGGCTGCCTGCTCGGCTCCTTGGATCGCACCGGATGCTTCTGCGTGCATGCTGCCCGCTTGTCCGAAATCCCTCCCACAGCCGACTGCAATGCATGACAGAAGCTGCGGCTGGGCTGGTGCGTACAGCGTTGCCAGCATTTTCCGAGGCTCCTGGGATGTATGCAGGTGTAAATTTCTCCGCATGTTAGATAGCCAATGATCAGAGCAAAGGAACGAGTCAGTCACGATTACATCAAATTTCCGTGAACAAGCTTGCCTTGACAAAGCGCAGTTGATGGTTCAGTTTCGAGAACTAGGTTCTTTGTCAAAACAAACTTCAGGCTTGAGCAAGGATAGTAGTCATTGTTAATCAAGCATTTTGCAACCGTGTGTGAAGTTACATCTCTACTGTAGGTCTTCCCGAAATTCGACCTTTTTCCAATGTCATGTGTGTGTGTGTGTGTGACTGTGTGTGCGTATCTATATCATACATATATATATATATATATATATATATATGTATATATATATATATATATATATGTCCTGATACACATAAATACAAACACGTACATCTATACATCCATACATCCATGCTGCCATGCCTCCATGCATTGCACGAATACATACACATGCACATGTGCGCATCCGTCCATCCACCGTCTATGTGGTAATACCTACATACCTCTATGCTTCCAAGGACCTTATAGTTAGGGCCCCAGACCCCTTAAGGACTCAGCAATAAGGTCCATGGAACCCTATGGAGTTTCTGAAAACTAGGGGTCCTTACAACCGGGATCCTTTTATTTAGGGTACTATATTAGGGTCCCCCATTTTCGGAACTTCCCTTACGAGACTGATCAGCATCAAGGGAAGGACTGGGCACTCGGAAGGTCTGCGCCAGTCGCGGGAGATCCACTGGGCCTCAGACAAAGCTCCACAAACGGTGCCCTAAACACGAAACCAACGGTGCGGTTTGGGGTGTGAGTGTAGGGTGATGTGTGTTCTGGTCCAGCAGTTTTGAGTGAAAAGCGCTTCTCCTTGCTAGATTCGAGTCTTTGCCACTTCCACAGCACTGTGCGCAGACTTCGGCGGAAAAAGCGTGGAACGCGCCAAAATCGCAGAGGTAGCGCAGGCCCTCCAGACTGAAAGGTACGGGGGAGGGCTTGTGGGTAGGATGAAGAAAGAAACACATGCAACAGGCCAGGCCGCGGGGACGGCCAAAATTGAGGCCTTGTAGCCGATACGAATACTCATGATACTGACCCTTCGTAGATTAACTCTAAACCCTTATAACTCCTTATGACAGTAACCCTTATAGGTTCAGGTCAGGCCAAGGTGCGGCGCAGGGGATTGCCTGCCTCGGATGTCAACGGCACATGATAAAACGTTTTCGGGGCATATTATGCCACAATTATATGTATCATAGGAACTCCGAGTAACTATATTTAGTATTGGCAACTATTCAAGTTCCTACATTTTCCGATTCTTGAGTGTCAATGCGGAAAGGCCAAAGAAGCACACTCCTGCCTGCCCTCGCAGCCGTGAAGCCTTTTTTGGCCTGCTTTCTTCGTTCCCTCTGCTTCTCCAGCTCCTCTTGCTCCTGCAAAGCATTGCAAAGCTCATTGAGACAGCTTTTACAGGATGGCGATGCAATCTTCGAGCATGCTACGCATGCATCCATAGACGTGCGTGACCCTGCAAGCTGCATGTGCAAAACCTCAGCAAGCATTTTTTGCATCGAAATCCCCCTTGCTCTTGTCTAATATGTGCAGGAAGGGTGCCCACCACTTACGGGCGAGGCACTGGGAAGAGTGTCATCTAATCCTCACGAGCCATGAGCTTTACCAGGGTGGGCTCCAGGCAGACGATGCCGAGAATGCAGCCAAGGAGGAGCACTGCGTCGTTGCCTGCTTTCACATGGACGTGCATGTGTGGGTCACTTCGGCGGATGCTTGCAATCTTCTGCTTGGGGTCCTGGAGCGAAACGATAGAGAAGTTGAGGGGCCCTTCTTCGGTCTTGAATTCTGCGCATGGCTTCTGCATGTGGTAGAAGACCACCCCACCCTGGACTCCGCGTGCAACCTTGCCAAAATAGCTACCGTTCTCGGAATAGACGGTCATGAGGACATCGGTCGCCGTCGAGGCACCTCGAAGAAGCACACCTGGTCCGTCTGCATGGACAGACTTGATCTTCATCATGCGGCCCTCCGACAAAGTCACCGTCAGCAAAGTGATGTTTTTCTCACTCTGGATGGGGAAGGTAGCTCTCTGATCGTCCACGACTTGGGCCACTTCCAAACGAAATTGATGGTCTGTTGTCTGTTCGCGCTGGAAGTGTGGGCACAAGATGGGGACAGGAACGATCTCCCCGGATCCTCACTGGTCCAAAACCCAAGGAAATAAAAGCTTAAACTTTCAGAATCGATTACCTTATAGGAACCCCAAAAGTTGAAAAGTTGAGTTTACAGCCAATAAGGATCCCCAAAAGTTGAAAAGTTGAGTTTACAGCCAATAAGGATCTGGTCATGCTCTTGGCTTTGGAGCCCGGCATCTCGGGCTGCTCAAAGGTCTCTTGGGCCATGGACCTAGGTCCACTATACTGAACTTAGAACCCTAGCAAAAACTATAATTTTAGCTGTTTCTTAGGGATTATGATAGCCAAAAATTAAAAACTATGTCTAAGTACCCCTAAGCTAGGTTCCCCAGTACTTAGCTCCTTAAAGATGTAAGGGTAGCCTTTTTCCTGCTCTTCGGTCTTAGTAGAGGAACCCCAAAAAGAAAAAGGGCAAAAGGGTACTACTGAGGAACCGAGGGACATCTTGTAGAGGACTCCGAGGAGCAGGATGATCAAGATGGTGACGGTAAGGTCTACAAAAACGCTCTCTGCGTTGAGGCCGGTAAGGCTGCTGCTTGCAACGGCCGCTGATTCGAGGGAACGCCCGGACACACTCTGGGCCAAGGCTACATGAGATTGATTTTCGGTGACATTGGAGGCAAGGACGCTCCGGTTCGACACAATCTCATCCACTTGCGACACGTTCTGGTGCACTTGCAGAAGCCACAGGTCTGTCTGCTCGATGTCATCTGCATCGCTGCCCCTGCTGCATGCGGATTCTCCTGCACATTCCTCGGCAAGGCCCGTGCAGACTGCAGCCGCCAACCAAATCGCCAACATCTGCAACTGCACGGTAGAAACCATTATCAGATTACTTGAGCATACCTGCGGTGGACTGTGGATAGCGGGCGACCGGACCACACCTTTCGCAAGCAATCAAAGATAGACTCAACATGTGCACCTGAGCAACAGTTTCCGATTGCCGGGGGTGAAAACTGCTACTATTCGCTACTTCTGGTCGGACACTAAGAGCGGATTGTAGATTCTTCAAACACTGAAACATGTGAAACACCAGAGAAAGGGTCACCACAACGCCTCCTACACTGGCAACTTCAACTTCAGGTTCGCAGCTCCATGCTTGACCCGGTCCTTGGCTTGTTCCTCGCGGAGGTGTAGCACATCTACATGGGTGCTTGTCAAAATGATGGTCCCTTTTTGGGGTCCCTATTATATTACGGCACCTATAATTTAGGGTACCCAAAAAGGGACCCTGATTTTGACAACCACCCACATTCTGGATATATGCCGGTCCCTATGGACAGTAAAGACAATGCCTCGTGCCAGCGCGGACGGCCCACGCAAAGCACTGCAGTGCTGAACAAAATCAACAGACATGAAATCACACACTTATCGTAAAGCTGCCTTTCCACATGCAAACATCACCTTGCAGCCTCCGACATGTGTCGATGCCATACCATGCACCCTGTTGCAACAGGCCTTCCACTATGCACCCTAAACCCTGGATTGCATCACAAGCCTCACACACATCCAATATCTACATACACCAGACAGCGCTCTAATTCCAATAAAATTCATCTGCAGCCACAGCAGCGGGAGCGAAACGGAAATTAGCCGCAGCCGCAACAAGCAGTGGGAGCGAAAACGAAATGAAGACCTACCTATCGAAACAAAAACACAAGAACAACAAGGTGACCGTCTTGGAAAACCAGCTCTTCCACGTTGCTTAGCTTATGTCTTCCAGGGTGTGCCACGATTAACTTGTCCAGGTTCTTATATATCAGGGACCACACTTCACCCATGCGTCTATCGTTGCACGAGCAGCCGAAGCATTAAAAACGTCGCAGCGCTTCTCATGATCTTCTCACAGTTTTGTCCCGATCGTGGTGAAGGGCAGAGTTGAAACGTCTTTCATGCAGTTTTCACTCCCCCGAAAAGCCCCTAAAAGAGTAATTATACTCGGCCTGGAGAAACTTCCTACATTTAATGAGGACACTCGAAACTTAAGTTACTTAAGTTAAATAGAGGTAAGCTCGATCGTCATGTGGGGTCGCCTTCGCAGCATGGGGACCGCAAACGCTGTGGTCGTGGGTGCACAGACTGACAAGAGTAATGGAAAAAGATCTTGAGAATCAGAAAAATGTTCAGGGTCTATTCTTGCGCATATCTATAAGGCGCTCTCACTATAAAATCACAGTGTTTCTACGCTACTTAACCTATAAGCCCTAAGCCCATAACTACTGCCCGCAATCTTACAGTATCAGCCCTCGCGCCTCGGCAGCCTTCATTCGCAGCTGTACCCGGCTCAACCTCGCCGGAAGGGGCAATAGAAGTGGGTGCCCCAAGAATTAGAGTAGTACGTCATATGTTAATCGTAGTACAAGTAAACAGAGGAGAGTAGGAAATCACAGTATGAGGAAAATGAGGAACCCACAAGAAGTGCATTTTCGGCATACCGTGTTGACTATCTCCGGGTTGTAACCGGGCTTCGGTACAGATTTTTGTGGCTCACATGGCACGCCAATGACAGCTCCACGGGTACTCAACTTCTAACTTCAGCACAGATTAGTGTAAGTATATAGAAAGTATATAATGCATAAGGGGGTAGTCTAACTACCGTTGCTACAGAAATTCTTTCCACCTTTCTACTATTTACTACAGGGCTCCAAGCTGTTGACGCGAAGAGCTAATCTTGTAGAACCCCTGAAGAACCCGTGTATACGACCTTGAATCCCTTTATCCCAAATCCTAATTCCTCAGCCCTAGGATCCTAAACCCCTGGAAGGGGGCAAAACGGCCCAGGAACAGCGAGGACACGGCGAAGGCGGCCGCTTCCTCCGCGAGTTCCTGTTGCAGATGCACATGTAACAAGGGCTTAAGTTGGCTTTCTGTGTTTCTTTTAAGTTGGCTTAGTGTTTAGGGTTTTGGGGAAGCCTAAACCCTAAACCCCCTGAGTTATTCTTCGGGTTTATGGTTCAGAGACTGTTTGGGGCTTCTTTGGCCTCCTGCCTTGCTAATCGAGTCCCAATAGGTTTAGGTGCGCGAATGGTGCCATACAGCTTGTGGGGGGGGGGGGGGGGGGGGGGTCTGCAGATTAGAGGTCCAAGTTTCCTGGCACGGGGTTCCTCATATATTGAGGATCTACACGAATATATAGCATAAACAGCTAGGCGTGATCCATTCAGAAGTTTGAGGCGTGCTCGTAATCACCAACATCGTCATCATGACACTTTGAGGACTAGCTACGTGTCATATGAATGGTAACTGGTAGCATATGGTGCATATGCTGCCACATGCTGCTACAAGGTGTAGAATTCTGTTCTGTTCTACTACATGACATTGACACTACATTGCATTCCACTATACACTACGGTGAATTACATCATGCTACGTTTCGTTGCATTACACCAGATTATATGTTGATGCTATACTATGTTGTGATGTTGAAGATGTGGTATTTTATGAGTAGTTGATATGTGACACGGCATTACACCGTTAGCTTAAAAATTGCTGCGTAGTAGTATTACATTCAAGCGTATCCGTTAACTATATAAAAAGATGCGGAGCAAGAGAAACGCTTCAGGCAAAGGCCGTAGACAGTGTGGGAGACCCGCTGCTCGAAATCACGAGCCGACATACAACGACTGGCTTTGATAAGGCGGCAAAATAAGAAAGGCGCCTGAACATGTCGAAATATGGTCCAGCTGAATGTGTGTATCACAGCATATCTATACCGTTGTGCCCGAAGGAATAATATCCAACCAATCCCACCCGTACATTAAATGAGAGGCTTGACATAATGACATAGTATCTGACAAGCGCCACAAGCTGGGAAGCTAGGGCCAGGAAGTAGGGGAAAGTGCGGGTGTTCAGTTCCCTCGTGGACGAGTCAACCATGACACACGCAGACATTCGGTCCCGCTCGCTGCCGAAGACATTGATGCCCTGCAGGCGGTCGCAATGGAAATTGCATGTTCAGTGGCAGGAAAGGTGAGACACACACACACACACAGAAAGATACCCGTGCTGACACTTCGTGCCAAGCTGCTTCTAGAGCCTAGGGGACTTCATCCATAAGACATCTTGATTTCATATTCTATCTTGATTTCATTCAAAAATGTCAAGACGAGCGATATTGGATCATGGCCACCGGGTCTGCACCTGCAGGCGGCGCGGTGGATTTACCGGCGGCGTGGGCGATTGCGTTCGGATCCGCTCTTGGCAGAGGCGAAGCCTCAGTGCAAGGAGTGATCGAGGCTAGTCATTTCCATAGAGCTCAGTGGCATGGAGCCAATGATAGTCTAGTATTCTTCAGGATCCCTCACGATTTTAATTTTCATATCTGCTATCCACCTAAGAACCGTTACTTGCAATCCTCACTTTGGCGGCTTCCGGTAAAGTAACTTCAACATTGCCTTTGGCTCATTGCGATGTCAAGGATAGTCATGTAGCAACCGACTCATTGCTGATCCGTTCAAGTTTTCGAAGTTCCGCAAGCTTGGGAACATACCCCGAGTCTCCCTAAAGCTTAGAAGAAGACCAACTTCGCTTCATATTGGAGACCCCACAGGCCGTACAGTATCCACCAGAACAGCGACACCGACACCCCCCCAAACCCTCACCCCGAAACCCCATGATCGAAACACCATATATCCTAAAACCCTACAGACCCTGAAACCTACATCCTACTAAAATCGCCCCCGGGCCAGTTTGAGTGCTGTCCAAGAGTCTCGGCCTGAGTGACGTTGAGCAAAGCCTTGGCTTCGGTGGCTTCCATGGTTGAGCGCTTTGCTGAAATCTGGCAGTTCCGGACTAAAGCTGCGAGAATGGGGGGTAAAGTCTTGAGCTCTGAGGATGTTGTGCGTTTTATGATGCACATAGCTCGACGGGAACAGCTCTGCCCTAAACACTCATTACAAACTGAATGGCACTTGGGTGTATGAACCTGCAGCGCCCCCGTCCCCACGTCTCGCGCCAAGAGGCCATACAGCCTTCATACTCTTCGCTCTTCCTCAGCCGTGCAGCTCACGAGGCAGATTCAACTGCATTCATGCAAGAAGGCTGTCTCCCAGCTCCAAAAACGTAGTTTATCGAAAACATTTCTAAAGCACCCTAAGCTCCGGCTTTTTCGACCTCCCGGGTTCTCTCTCTCTCTCTCTCTCTCTCTCTCTCTCTCTCTCTCTCTCTCTCTCTGCCGTGCCATCATCAAGTGTCTCGCAATGCAAGGGCACGAAATCCCGGGCTCTGGCAAGAAATCACAAGCCACGTGCTGAATATCTAGGCACTGACCTTCCTGCAGTTTCGATCGTGCTCGGCATGATATCATGCGGTTGAAGGCTTTAGTAGGCATATAGTCAGACATGCATTGTGTATATATGTATAGAGAGAGAAGCCGTATCGCTGACCAGTATGTACGGATCGGCTGCCCAGGCTCTTCTTCAGAGCAGACCGGCAGCGGTTCAGGTCCGAACTCTGCAGCCTCAGCTCCTGCAACTAGGGTCAGATTCAATGTGGAAGAAGGCATGCAGGGATTCGAAGGAGAGCCCTCGTTAGCATTGACACTGCTTGTGACGATGGCTGGTAAGTATTCCAGCTACCCTCGGCGACAATGGCTGCAATGTTCAGCATGATCGAGTTTACTTGAACAAATCGAAGAACAGCCAGGAGTTTTGCAGCTGCTATGCATCACTTACCACCTTGCCCATGGCCAACATGCCTCCCCGATCAAGATTCGGAACCTTCAGTACTTCATCAGTCTGCTTGCTTGCTGGCTCGTGTGGCCCAAGCCTTGTCAAGGCACTACAGATACCCTTCATAGCGCACTCCATAGACCGATGCAGGGGCACAGGTCGTGAAGATTCATTTTTTCAAGACTCCTCCTGCAGTTTCTGCAGCTCCGTCTTGCCTGGCCAAGCAAGGAGCTCCGGAGTGATTCTGCCCCCGTCTGAAACGGTGAGGGCTAATCATGGCCTGAAGCCTCTCACAAGTCCTCCACAAGCATAACCCTAAACTCTCTGAGCCCTAAAAACCGTAAAACTCTAAACCCCTAAAACCTTTAATCCCCCCCCAAAAAAAAACGATGGAAGTCTGCTCCAGTCTTCGGACCGCGGCTGTGCCTTCAGGTCCCAACCCTTCGATTCTGAAGCGATGGCGTCGCTTGCCACTTGGAGGTTCATGGCATGGGTTTGTAAACGTGGGGTGATAAGTCGGGCAACTATAACTATAACCCATATTCGGGGACTTATAACCCCACACTCATAGCTCCCCATGAGCCTCCAAGCAAGAGCTGTGAGGCATCTTGAAGCCAAGGCACTTTCGGGCTCCAGAGATGCACGATGCCCAGCGCCTGACACCAACCAACAAGCGGGAGGTGACAAATAACTTACTGAGCTTGCAGTGGAAATCCGTCAAAGAAGCCAGCTGCCTGATTGGGAAGCAAGATGCCAACACTTCTGCGCCGACACCATCACCGCCACAACCAACGTCGCCCAGCATGAGTATTAGATCATCATCATTATCATCATCATCACTTTCAGCGGGAGTGACAAATACCATACTGAGCTTACAGTGGAAATCCGTCAAGATGCCAACACGTCTGCCCCGACACCATCACCGCCACAACCAATGTCGCCCAGCATGAGCATCAGATCATCATCACCACCACCATCACTTTAGGCAGGAGTCCGTCATCCACCAAGAAAGCAGCAAACGCAACGTTGTTCTCCTCCTCCTCCTCCTCCTTATCCGGATCTCCCTTCATGACCGAATTACCCCAAATACTGTTCACATCCGGTTCCCTCGGCCTGCCCCCAACATCTCCGGCACGGCAAAGCTCGGCGCCTCCACGGGCGATGCTCCTGGATGACGGGGAGGGGGTACTGTAGTGGGTGAAGGGAGACGGGTCTTCTTCTTGGGATTGCCGGCTGGGCAACATCTGGGCATGTATAGACACTTTCATAGGAACTTCAGGCCCTTCATGGGCATAAACTGACTCTTGCAGCTCGGGCACGGCATCTGAGATAACTCTGAACGCTCATGTAGTTCTGCATGCTTTGCATATTTGACACGGGAATCGAACTCCCTGCAAGCCCACACTGCTCCTTCAACTGAAGTACATCCGCCGGTGCTGGCTGACATCTACGAAGGATACGAGATACATTCACGAGAGGTGCTACACTAGGGCTAGTACTTCTCCTCATCGACAAACACATGAAACAGGGGCTCCATGGCTTTTCATACGACCTTCCCAGTGTCTTGATCGATCCATCATCCCTGCAGAGAAACCCAAGCTACATCACCGAGATTCCCAGTGCCAGATCATGCAGCAAAGCAACTGGCCCGTACAGTTTTCGTGGAGCTTTTCAGCAGAGTGCCAGGCAAAGCTCGCCTCGGATGTGGATCTTCCGGGATCCAAGGTAGTTTATGTTTTCCCTCCTGCTTAGCAAGGACGAAGCCCGCGTTGCAGGGTAACTTCTAGATATGATACGGTGCAGGGCGGGTTTAGGGCGGCATTGAATCTTCCAACTTCTGCTGGGCAAAAATAGTTCGAGCACGATGAACACCCGAATCGAGTGTATGCAGACTTGGTCAAGAAACGCAGATTCAAGGAGCGCCCCACATCCTCTGTACAGATGATCTTTACCTCGATCGCGATTAAGTACTCGCCGAACCCTGGATCATTGCAGGCAAAAGCGGCGGCGCAGGAAGTGTGATCCCCACATCGAGGACGTTCTCGCGGCCAGCTAAAGCCGCATCGCGGCGTTTTCTCCTTAGCAGCATGGGAGCTCCCCCGATTCGTTTGCCCACGGTAGGTTCAGCAGCCAACGTGGGCCTTACCCCACAAGCCCCTCGGAAGTCGATCCGCGCAGCTTGGAACCCTAAACCCAACAGCCTAAGCTTCCGAACGCCTGCCCCCCACACTGTCACACCTCTGCAGACATGGGACGACATGGCTGCCAGATCTGTGCCACCTGGAAGTCGGCTCGTGGGCCCAGGTGTCAAAGTTTTCTTTCTAACGTCCATGGAGGGTTCTGCTAGGCTGCTAGGTGGGGCTTTCAGACTTGATAGAACTATAAAGCTGAGAGGCTAAGATAGCTACATAAACCCTAAGACCCCCAAACCCTAGACACCCATTTAAACCCCAAAAATCTCCATCGCCCGAGAGTCTACTGCATCCTTCCCACAGGTGTCAAACGTGCCCTTAGCAGTTGAGCTCAGCTCCTCCTCTCGCGAGGACCCCCGGTAAGCCCGAAGCCCCCAATAAGGCCTGACCCAAACCCGAGACTTACGGAAGCCCAGATCGCAAAATCCAAGGCCCCCAAAGCCTTCAGCTCTAAGCACTGAGCCCAAAAACCTCTCCGCGTGCTGTCGCGTAGCCGGGCGTCGACTTGCGCACGCGGCCACCTCGCCTTTGCGCCTTCGCCGTGGCAGATGGGAAACTTTGATAGACCATAGGATGACTGGGCTTCTTTAGGGCCTGTGGGGCAGCTCCGGGGGTTTGTTCGGGACGAGGCATGGTTTCCGGCTCTCTGGCAGAAATTCGTCCGAGAGAGGCCTGGACTGCGTTTCAACCTATTTTCTCACTGCTTAGGATGTTTGAAACCCTTCCTTGCGTGTTTTGTTTCAACCTTATTATATAAGGCACCCGAGAGCTAGGCGCATCAACAACGAGCGAGTGCCTTGCCGCCTTGCCCTGCCTCGGAGAAGTGCACGTCCGGAAGATCCATGTTGATGTCCACCTCACCTAGCGAGAACACACACACACATAGATAGGCTCCTAAACCCTGCGCATCCACCGAGACCTCCCGCACCTCGGCAAATTCAACAGCTACCTCCCATCTGATGGGTTTAAGATTTGCCAGACACCGGCCCAATGTAAAGGTATCCAGGCTGCCTCCGCAAAGCCTCTGAAGAAGCATCATATTGACGCAGGAGGAGAAACGTTAACCCGCTGAGCAGCTTAGCAGCTGAGCCGGCGAGCAGCCCCCAGAAAACCCCCCAAACACACAATCGTAAATCGAACATTATCCCGGTGTGAAGAAGCTAAAGTACGCAAACGATGCTTCCTGAAGGGTGGCCTGCATCCCAAAAGGCAATCACACTGGGTTGGAAAATTGTGAATTCAATCGCATTCGGGCGTTGGCACGTGTTTTCAAGTGTTTTCAAGTAAAAACCTCATATGTAATACCCCCCCCCCTCCCCCCCCGAAACTGAATACAGTTTCAAGGCACGTCACAAAGCCCCAAATGCCATATGCTCCCCTAATGAGGTTTTGTGGAGTTTCAGATATCGGATGGACAGCTCCCACCTCGATCTCTACAGCTGTAACCTTGAATGGTTTCGTGGTATACCACAGTATCACTACACTAATGCACCGAACCCCCAGGAACAGCATGAGTAATTAGGTCCCTCAGAGCCCTGCTTGTGCGTTCAAGCAGCCTCGGGTACGAAACTTCCACGAAAAGCGACTTATTCAGTAGGGCCGCAATAATTAGAATTGGGTTTTGGGGCTAAAAACACTGTAATTATAAGAAGGAGCCCCCACAATAGTGCTGGCAATTATTCATGTTACTATAGTATTCAGTAGGGCCTCGGGATGTTTGTCGGCCCAACTTTCCTCAAGCCCCGGTGCACCTGGTAGGCGTGGAAGCCTCGTTTCGTTGCGCGGCGCAGAGCTTGGTACAATGCCCAAGGGCCTCACATGCGGGCTCCACCCCAGAGTTAGAATAGACTTCTATGAACCGGCAGGTCTTCCGAGGTTGTTTGGGTCTCATTAAGACAAGCTACCGGCCCCAAACCTCCTTTGGGCTTTCGAGGGAAGCGTGTGTTCCATGACGTTGGGGCTGCAAAGCTGTTGAGGCTATCTTCTGCTGGAACTCCAGAGCCCCGAATACCACTGGGGCAGACAACCAACACTCCAGGTGGCTGATGGCCATCATCTGACATCCACATCCTGCCAGTCACCGACTAAATCATGAAGGGCCAAAAGAGCACTGGCAGCACGCGAGCGAATGCAAAACCTGAAGAATGCTCATAGTCTATGGTGTCTATGACAGTTGCATGAACTGCTGGCCCTCCGACTTCGTGTCTTGTCCACGACCAGACTTTAAGCACTGGGCCTGTGCAGCTCAGATCGCTGCTGCTCGGAGCCGTCGAGTTTCTCCCCGCATCTGTGAGAAGCCTCCTCGCAAAGGGAATGGTGGAGTCTCAGGCTCCGGTTCAGGCACTCCATGCACTTCGCTCATGCAGCCGCTATGTACCGATAGGGGCCAGCAACCGCTACATTCCCCGATAAGCCCCAACAGTCTCAGACCGGAAACTCGGCCTCACCCGAAGCTCAGTCGCGTGCCTCTGCCACACACTCCTGCCCTCCGCTACGATCGTCTGAGCCGAAAGGTGCCGCGAGCCGTGTCGGAAAGGCTTAATCCCATAGCATCAATGGTAGGAATCATGATAATTTTGCCTCCTGCATTTCTGAGTTTTACATGAAGCAAGGAGTTAGGTACAATCATGATCATAAACGTACCTAGTTGATGCTGATAGTAGTCATGAAGATCACGAACATACTTATCATACTGGCCGCACTCGTCGTAATGACCAAAGGCCCAATCCATGCCATGTGGACTGACCCGCAGCGGGAGGCGATATCAGGTGCCACGGATGCTCAGCCCTGCAATGTGGGGGTTTCCGAAAATTAGGGTTCCGCCTTATTTTGGGGTCCTTGTAATAAGGATCCTACTATGTAAGTACTATATTAGGGTGCCCTATTTTAGGAAACTCCCATGTAAATATGGGTCTTGGGAACAGATTCCACGCTGGGAGTAGTAGACGTCCCTTTGTGGTTGGCCCAGGGGTTCAGAGCCTCGGGAAAACCCACACAAAACTCAGACTTGACTCTGCCTCCATGGCGGAATGGCACTCTGTGACGACAAGACAGAGCCATCTTAGACACGGTTTAAACACGTCTGCTGGATGTTGGCCAAACGCAACTGTTCGATGGTAGAGTCACTGGTTCGAGTCCCGCAGGCATATTCGTCTTATTTATATTACGCTTGATATTAGGGAATGTGGCATGCATTTCTGCTTTATAAATTTCCGAAGACATTGTCATGGATGTCGAAACCGTTGAGCCAAAGCCTGCGCTCAGCATGACACCTCAGAATACCTTCCATCTTCCAGGCGAAGAAGAGCCTCATGTTTCTCTGAAACACGTCAAGGTTTGAGTGAAGATGCAAAGTTGCATCATGGGACTGGACGGCGCCACCCCTGGCAGAACTTAGAGCGCCGAGGCAAAGAACAAGCCTCTGACGGAGGCTTCTGCAACCAAGCGACCAGATGCAAAAGGAAACGAGAAGCTCAGAACGATCATCCCTCGCTACTGTGAGAAGTCAACAAACATGCGGAATAGCCCTACACACTACTCAGACCGACATCCACTGGAAGAGTGGAACTGGAGAGGCATTGCATGAACAGGGACCCACAGGCCCCGTCACCCACGAAAGCCCCCAAAAGCTCGGTGAAAGGCAGGACTGCTGAAGTTCCTCGACTTCGTGCTGAAGCTGCTGGCCTTGTCGCAGCTCAGGACGGGGTGTTGTCCTTCTACTGGGTACTTCGGTCTGGCACGGCTGGTTCCTGCACAAAGATCTAAGTGAATGGCCGCGGGTCATACCAGCAATGGTCGGTAACATACTGCACATGCATGTGCCTGAGGTCTACGGACATCCTGTGCCCACGTTTCCGGAGTATGCCGGCTGCTATACACAGAATGATGTCCATGTCTTGCAGCTCCATGTCATGAGCGTCCATGTGCAGTCGCGAACTTTTGAATCGAAGTCAGCCAGGATCGCATCCGAGCTTTGCGGATCTCCCGGCCAGCCGAGGCTCCGAAACCAGCAAACTCGTTGTAACTCGCCTACCAGCTGGTCTCCGTGGCATCCAGGACATGGCTCGTCGTACCTCAGGGTCTTCTGCATGGATATAAGTGGTGCCTATTGTAGATGCCTTGCACGACAGCTCCGCCAAGGAATGCTTGGAGGTTCATGGGTAGTTATAAGTGGGGTTATAAGTCTCTTAATATGGGTTATATGTATAGTTACCCTAATTACTTATAACTACCATAAGTAGGTAACTATACATGAAACCCATATATTAAGAGACTTATAACCCCACTTATAACTACCCATGAACCTCCAATTGTGAGTGAAGTCCCGGGCTTGAGACGTCCGACCCGTCCTCCCCTCGCGGTCACCACTGTAACCTCGGCAAACATGGGAGTCTCCGAAAAGAGTGGGCTCCAATTCTGTACCCTAATTTAGTAGGATCCTTATTATAAGGAATCCAAAATAATTGGTACCCCCATAATTTTCTGACAATCTCACATGTCTTGAACTTTCCGTTGGCATCTGAACTCCCCTTTCTTGGGTGTAGTACATGTATGAGTGCTTCGGTCTCCCACTACCTTGAGGCATTCTGCAGGGTTCTGAACCCTAAACCCTTCTGAATAAGGATAAGGCTTCTCACAAGAGGCCCATTATACTATAATATCTAAAATAGTATCATCATAAGGAACCACCCCAAAATACAAGAGGCCCAGTATACTATAATATCTAAAAAAGTATCATAATAAGGAACCACACAAAATAGTATAGGTATCTATAGGTTCTGCCATCGATCCAGGCCAAAGGGCCCTGCTCTCTTCGCCGGCTATTCCGTCTCGCCTACAGGCGGCCCCAAGACGGCAACGCTGCCGCCGTCCTCCTGGGGATGATCTAAAGAACTAAATACAAACACAGACCGATAGATACTAAAAACAAAAGTTAATATACAAAGTACGTTTATATATATATATATATACACATGTATACACATGCATATATATATATATATACACATCTTTCATCCCCAAAAAGGGATGTCCTGGGTCGCCCCCTACAGCGGAGACTGCACTGCGTGCTACTCCGTTCTCAGGGCTAGCTGCTGCAGAAACGGGCCAAATACACTGACACGCTCAGTTTTCACAAATGTTTGTGTGTCTTTATGTGCGCCCATGTCGTCGGCCCAGCTCGTCATGACGTTTCGTGGATTCTGCGACTAGCCAAGTCTAACCTTAAGACATGATGTGGGCAGTGGCTGTCGGCTCGCAGGTGTCTGACACTGCTGGACCATGACGTTCCTCTGTGATTCTAGATTCCAGACTCTTCTTGCTGGGTGTACTGATGATGTGCGAATTTGGCCAGCCAGCACAGACCAAGCGAGTGTAACAACCTCATAAGTGTTTGACTATGTCGCATATGGTTGTCTCTGGTATTCTACTCTGCAATTCCAAGAATCCTCATCGTCTTCCTCGTCTTCCTCTTCTCCATCCTGGCAGCACATGCCGGCTGCGATACTCAAATGGACAGAAATACAGTCCATAAAGGTTCAGAAGCACGACATCACGACTAGTACCAACTGACGCCGCCGATAACCTTGCCCACCACGATCTTACGACGGCTGCTCGTCCAGTGCTGCTACAATAATGGCTCCCTTCCGGGCTTCGGAAGCTTTCCCGTGTGAAGTAGCAACCACCAACGACATTTCTCCTAATACCTCGTGGACTCGAGTTCAGAATCCATGGAGCCAGCTCCTCCTCCTCCTCCTCTTCTTCGTCCTCCTCACTCTCCTGACGACGTCGAGGTTCGGGTGGCTCTGTGGAAGTGTACCAACTGCCATGAACCCATAATGTCGCAGTGTACCTCGACCTGAAAGAGGAAAGCCGCCTGTCGCAACTTAGCCTCATAATGTAATAGAACAGAAAAGAATAGAGCGGAGTAGAAATAAGTACATATTTATATTTATATTTATTATAAAAGCACAAAAGCACACAACATGATCTAACGTAGCATCATGTAATATAGTATAATATAATAGCATATAAGGAAATATAGCATAGTCTAATGTAAAACCATATGATACGGTAGAATACTGTACACAGTGTGATATACAGCAATATAACAGAATCTGATTAAGCAGCACACATATTAATATATCTATATATATATATATATATATGTATGTATACACATGTATGTATGCATGCATGCATCCCATAATGTGTACTAAGCTGTATGTGCTGGTGGATGTAACAGCACATTTCCTATAGTATAGATACCTACATGTCTATTTACACAAAGGCCCTTCAACCAAAAGCCTGCTTCTTGCAAAAGGAACACATGCAGGCTTGGACATGGGGCGACACCACACCTCACAAGCTTTGAGACCACTCGCTCAAGCCTAGCCTTTGGTTTAGGGTTAGGCGGGTCTACGCACTCGGACAAGCCAAACGGGGATTGTTCAGGGTTTGAGGCGTCTAGGTCACGAAAATACTCCGTCTTGTTCTCCTCTGCATCCGTGAGCTGAGATCGCGAAGCCTGGGGATTGCTGCCAACTGTTGAAAGATACGGGGCTCGAGAAAGCCCAGCAAGCACGAAAGCTCTCCCACTTCACCCTGAACCTACCAGGTCTCTCAGCTGAAGGTTCTTTCAAAACCTTCAATCATGATGCTCATGAAATCTTGCATCACTCAGCGCAGGGCCGAAAGTATCCGTGCTTTTCCTGTGCTTCGGCCAGCCAGCAGGAAGCTTCTGCGTGTGAATTGCACCATGCATCTCGAACCAAGCCCCTAGTACCCTAGCCTTGGTTGCAGCGACGGCTTCAACACCTACTTTCGGTCGGTTAAGACATTCCGCCGGCACAACACATACAGGCGGGGATCCAGCCGCGCGTGCATCTGTCTGCCTCTTTCCCTCGTTCGAACCTCGCTTTCCCACTCTCTCTCTCTCTCTCTCTCTCTCTCTCTCTCTCTCTCTCTCTCTCTCTCTCTCTCTCTGCCTTTCAGCATCCACAGGAACAGCAGGACTTCACCATGGGAGTTGCAGGAACGAGAGGACCCAATAATGTAAGAACTTCCTCCATAAGGTATCCCTACCAAAAAAGAGAAAGCCCCCATCCTTTTAGTGAAAATCATTTAGGCCCCCAAATAAAAAAAGAATCCCAACAGCCGGGACCAGGTTTCGAGGCCGCGAGTGCGCGACACGACGGCGTGCTTGATGCCCTCGCACTGCCGCTTGGATCTTCGTGGCCTGGTCGGTGGGGCTTGGGCTTCCAGCGCTTTTTTCCCTCCTACCTAGTAAGGCTTCTAGCGCTCAGGGATGGGGGCTCGTGCAAAACTAAGGGTCTAGGGCTGAGAGGGATGATGAGACCTAAACAAATGCTCAAACAACTACAGTCAAGAAAGCTGACGGACCGTCGGACTAGATTCTCGAAGCAGCTGGCCACAAGCGCAACCACAGCCACCGACAGAGACACACTGCTCCGAAGAAGCAGAAGCAATATGCAGACGAGTCGCGGCAACCTCTGGTGGAATGGCGGGCAGACGGCTGGGCAAAGCCTGGATGAGGGAAGTCTAGCTTCGCGAAGCGTTGTAGGGGTGGGGGCTCTGGGTTGAGGTTACAAGCCTTTGAGACTGAGCGGATTTGAGTGACTGGTGACTCGTGCGCTCACGTAGTGCTCTTACATCGAACGTTTAGTAAGTCGGCAAGTATGTATTGCAGAGCCCTCGAAGTCCCTCACTCGATGCAGCCGGCCACCAAATGACCGCATCTTGATGCGCACTGAAAACAAACAGATAAAGAACGAGATAAACATGTTATACATATAATGCATATACAGATGTTGTTTACATGTATGCTTTGCTCATCTGAAGTTTTATGTTTGTATGTACGCATTACGCATGAGTGCATGCATATACATACACGCATAAGTCCATGTACGAAGACATAGGCATCAACATAGGAACTTGCATAAACTTACACACACATACGACAGCCGTGCAGACGGACATATAAACATACATGCGCTCATAAACATGGTATATATAGCCAAACAGGAACTACACATGAGTGCTGTTGTGCTATTGCTGTCTCCGCCTTCGACTGCTCGAACTCGCCGGGCTCCTAGCAAAGAAACGCACTTTCAAAGGCTTGTTTATTCCTGCTGATAATACATATATATATATATATACGTGTGTGTGTGTGTATAATATCCAATACATAGTTCAAACGTCTATATTGTATATGCTATGACACATTTTTATACATACATACATACACACACACACACACATATATATATCACATACAAAAAGTTTCGATGTATGTCATGAAAAGTGGCAAACCCTCCGGTACACACAAATGAGAGAATCTGACAATCGGCGAAAGCTTGTTTAAACTTTAGACATCCCTATGACAAGGATCCTGTAACCCTGAGCCCTTTGTTGAGCAAGGGCTGCGGTGCACCTTGCCCTGGGGCTGCTCCTTGCCTTGCATCTTCGAGCCAGGCATCTGGATCCACTAATAGCACAACAACTTGAGCCCTATACCTTTAGGCCCGACACCCTCAAGCCGCCTGTAGTACGGCAGCCCTATGTTTCCGACACTCCCAGGAACAACCCCCAAGCTTGCTCCTGCAGTGCATCATCCGGTCCTGAGTGCATTTTTCAACAGATTTCACGGCACTTCCCTCAAAGTCTCAGATCTCTTCCCGCTCCATAGGTCTCGGCCTCTCAATCCACACGTATGTCTGCGAGAAAAGCATGGGCCACAGCGACCCTAGACACAGCAGCTTCTCGCGAATTGCGCCTAGCGACTCTTGGCACCGGCTGAGGGTCGACGTTTCGCCGGAGGCACAGGGGCAGCCTCAGATCGCTAGAAGGGCGCGGCTACCCAACCGTTCAAGTTTTCGATTTGATGAAGATAAAGGAGAAGTGAAGAGCAACGACTCGAAAGCGAAAGACTTAAAGATGGCCTATAGGGATATCTAGGATCTAGGGTGGGGTCCGTATTAAGACCTCTACGGCCGCAAAGTACCTAATACTATTTCGGTACATGGACCCTTAAAACCTATGAACCCTTATAGAACCCGTAAACGACCCCTTATGATACCCCCAAAGGAGCCCTATTTGGGCACGTGGACCTTTGGGGGACCTGAAGAGCCCCGAGAGCCTTGGAAGGTTGCCGATGGAGCCCAGGCGTCGGTGATTCCTTCGAATCAGCAGTCCGTGCTCTACTTGGAGGTTCGGGGGTAGTTATAAGAGCGTCATACTTAGGGTAACTATATACTTATAGCCCATATTAGGGGACTTATAACCCCACTTAGAACTACCCATGGTTTTGGCTTCACAAACCGCAACGTCTTGGGACATACGCTGCAGCAGAGTGCAGAGATCAAATCGCCGACGGCGGCGAGGGTTTGCTCATGCCAACAAGAGAAGGATCGCTCTCTGAGCGCATCGACTGCTACTACGCACAGCCTTGAATCTGCGGGATGCTTGAAAACTTTCTCCCTGCAAGCAACCCGTTCCAAATCCATGCTCGAACGCGACAAGTCGACAAGCCCTTCTGCATGTCTGGCATGCACGAAACTCTCTATTCCGGGAATGTAGGGGCCTTAACAATTAGCATAGGGTTTTGGGGGTTCCTTATAACTATAGTATAATATACACCCAAACCCCAGTCTAATTATTAAGGCGCCTACGTTAGTGTTCCGGTCACATCGGATCCGTCCTCATCGGCCGCTCGCATCTGCAGCTTCAGCGCGGACCGGCGTGTGAAGGTCTGGCGCGGGTTACGGACTTCGGAATTAGGGCTTAGGGTTTCGGGTTTAGGGTTGCAGGCTACGGACTTCGACAGCCATAATCCTATAAACAAACCCCGAGGACTACCAGTCGGCAACACCAAGTCACTTAACCACACACTCTGACCTTATAAGGGTCTAAAGGAGCCCGTAAGATATCGTATAACGATAAGTAGTCGTGGATGGCATTTGTGCGTGTACATGGGTGGTTGTCACAATTCTGGTCCCTTTCCGGGTACCCTAAATATTAGGTGCCGAACTATAATAAGGACCCACAAAGGGACCCTAATTTTGACAACCACCCACATGACAAAGAGCCACTTGGAGCCTTTGGGGGCGCTCTGCACGACACAAGAACGTAGAACTGCAGAGCATGCGGGGGGCCCGGAAATCCCATCCTGCCAAATCCGAATACCCTGCAATATCAAGAATGCAGGGTCCCGGATCAATTTCGATATTAGAGCCTCTATTCGGTGCGCAAGGTAACTTGGTACTCATAAGAAGGGGAGGGGGTCTACCCAAAACATGTGGGAGTTTCCGAAAACAGGGACCCTGATGTAGCACCCTAAATAGTAGGATCCTTATTACTCGGATCCCAAAAAGAAGGTACCCACAATTTTCAGAAACTCCCAAATATGAGGCACCGCCTTCTTGCGCAGCTTCGAAGCGCGAGCTCGGCCCTGCTTCCCACGCACGTGCGCTTGGATCTTCGTGGCCTGGGCATATTAAAAGAATCCCTAAAGCTCCAGTTACCGAAATAGTAGGTTACTGGGCCTGGGGTATTAAATTATACGGTTAGTAACCTACTCTTCAGGTAACTGGAGCCTTACAGGGAAAGCTATGAGTTCGTTTAGGGCTCAGGGCGCAAGATGACGCAAGGGGTTCCAGCCCGCCCCTGGTCTCACTAAGACAGGGGCGATGCTTGAGAGTTGGCTTGGAGCAGCGGCAGCAGCTATCAACCACCAAAGCGTCTCGACATCTACGGGGTGATGCAGAAGTCAGAAGAAGCAAAAGGGCAGCACAAACACGAATCAGCACTTTTCCCTCCTGAAAGTCACACCGCTCCCGAGCCATCCGAGCCCGTAATACTTCTGACACTCCAAGCCACCGCGGCTTGCTGCACCTCCCATGGTGGCGGAGGTAGCGGAGGCAAGTGGCTCTCCTGGCAATACTTGTTGAAGCTCCGTCTGGGGGCATCTACGCTTCATGGCTTCTTCTTCAAATCGGTGTTGAATTGCTCTCGGTAGTTGCGGATTCCCTGTGGAAACAGAAAAGAGGTCAGTTGGATGGCACTGCAGACTGATAACGATTCAACTGCAGGACCGAAGCGTCCAAGCCAGTTGGCTTCAACGTAATGGACCGCAGAGACGTCTATATTACACCTTGCGTCCATGCTGGCGTTCCGCTTCGCCGATGCCTGTGTGAAAGATAGTGTCAGCACAAGAGTTTACCCTCCATCGACTGCACGACACTGGCTTCATGCGCAACATAAGAAGATTAGTGAGCCTATAGCCCGATAGCCCGATTGCAAGTCGAAGTCCTTACAAATCTTACCTTTGGTTAGTAGGGAATGTTTCAATGGTAATAATAGTATAGTTATACTTGTACCCCATTCCTCCATTCCCTACTAGCCGAAGGTAAGAAAATCTGGTGCCTCTGGCTTCGTCGCCTTCTTCCGGACACGCTTGCGCACCCATCGCCCCCGGGCGTGCGCTTGGATTTTGGTGGCCTCAAGGTTTCAGTAGAAAACCTGAACTGCAAATCTAAAAACACACCTGATGCGTTTGCTCCAGGACATCGGCAACTGTTTCACTTGCCACATGTCGCTATTCGTGCAGGTAGTTCGCCGTGCCGCACACCCCCGTGGCCAGGTTCAAAAGCTGAGTCTACCACGTTCTCGACCTTCACTAAGAGGAGGCTGAAATAGCCGCATGGACTTTAATGCCAAGCTGCTGCTGCATGCTGAAGGTCGGTTGGTGCCCGAGCAACTGCCTGTGGCGGCTGAGCCTTTGAGGGAAGTACAACGAGGGAGGGTTTGCCGCTTGAGCCCTTTCCTGCAGCTTTCATCGCCAGGGCTGCGAAGCCCTTCCCCTGCCTGCTTGGCAGCGTCTGCTTTCAGCGCCTTCATGCGCGCTGCCAAAGGACTTCCAGCTGCCTTGGTTCTTTGAACTTTGAGCCCGCATTTACATGTAGCACCAGCGCAGTCAACGAGTGGCGGGAAAAGGGCCATTTAAAGTTGTAGCTATGTGCAGCACTGCGAAGAAGCCCAATTGCAGCTATCAAGAACACGCATAGCTCACATCCGAGTCCTGAGCTGTCAATGTGTTCTCCAAAATTCAAAGGTCCAACGTAGCTTCTTGCAGAAGGCACATGCAAGTGATGCAGCCAAAGGCGGGGAGCAACACCGGCCATGTCTCAAAGCACAAAATCTCTGACCTCCTTGCAAAGCCGGTTGCCATCTCTGGCACTGCACGCCGGCTGTCGTGGAACTCCTGCTAATGCCAATCCCAACAACGAGCAATGTAATGCAATGTAATGTCTTGCGTGAGTCTTCAAGAGCCCTGGTAGGCACGAACCTCGGACATCCCCAGATCCCTGAACAGCCAGCCTCCCCCAAGTGGAAGGCGGAAGCCACTCTGTGGCGAAGGGCCCCAGCCGTCGCCGGGGCTGCGGTGCCGGCAAGTGTTGAACGTCCCCGAGATCTGCATGCAGCTGAACATGTTCGCTGTGTTTGGGAGGCTTCGGATGGCATAGGTTTGAGACCCCTGCGAGGTTTAGTCAGTCCACAACTGAGACTCAAGGTGAGCAATATCTCTGGCGGACTGCGAAACTGCCGGTCAGAGAACTGTCACACCCTTCAAAGACGCCTCTTGGGAGAAGCAGGGGGCGATACCTTGAGATGCCCAAAAAAGGACCTGAAACCAAAGGCCGTCTCAGATTCCGATTGGGCGTGCGATCGCTAGGTGCTCACAAGCACGGGTCTCAGGCGGATTACAGGCATTGCAAAGGGAAGGGGAGCCGAGCTTTGCGAAGGTTTCGTAAGTTTCGTAGCAGATCAGCCTACACAGTCGCTTGTGGGTTGGCAGCCTTCGCTGCTTCTCGACGCTTCAAAATCCTGAAGCGGAAAGCCTAAACCGGCAATCCTATCGCCAGCCCATGACTCGAGATTTGTTACATTATTGTTCCAGACATTTCTCATGTGACTGGGTCACAAGGATCGCATCCATGCGTCATGATCATATAGAGGCCGTTATAATTCGAACAGGGTTTGGGATTAGTGCATCACAAGCAAACATAGGAATTGAGAAATACATGCATTTTATATGAAGACATACATACATCTGCATGCTCACATGACGCCCTGCAACCTCACAGCGTTCTGTCATTCCCGTCAAGCCATTGGAGCATCATCACTGAGTTGGAATCCTCTGGACCAATGTTCAAGTTCAGGGTCCAGTGGTTAAGGTCCTCGCGGAGTGTTCCGAGCAGGGAAGATGTTCAGAGGAAGTGGTAACGACGGAAATTCGACCGCATGCCAGGACGATGCGATCAACCTATGAAGTTCACGTGTTGAACAAACTCTACTCCGGCTGCCTTGCATGGATCTCCTCAGAGCGCTATAAAGACCACTGACCAGAACGTCGTTTCATGTGTTGCTGCAGACTAGCGGAACCCGCACGCCAAATAAGTTCGACTCGGAATCTGAACCGTGGCATCGGTTGATGGTGCTGGGCTCAGACTCACACATTGATACGAACACGAACTGACGGAAACATTGCCATCCACCACCCCGAGCATGACGCCGCAACAGATGCACGGCGTTTCTGAGCTCTTGGCTGGTTTTACAGCTTGGGGACTGGTGACTGGAGACTATGAATGAAGACTAATCTGTTGCATGGTCCTTACCAGTATATATAAGACCAAGAGAGCACGAACAGCTTCACAGAAGCAGCGCTGCAGAACAAAACTGTATTCACCAAGCATCCCCACGAGGACGGGAAGTTGTGCAAGTACTTGTTGAAGCTTGTTCGGTTTAGAATCTTCTGTTGTTACCAAACTTTTAGCAGCAACGCGAATGCCACAAAGCCCCAAATCTTAAACTCAGCCAGTCGAAGGTCCCCAACTCGAAGACGGGCGTTTCGGAATACTTAAGCAGACGACTGTTGATCCTGAGTATAAGTATAAGCATCCCTATAAGTCCTTAAGTTCTAAAAAATTACCCGAACTAAAGAAGCACGGACCCCTGCCCAGGTATCTCCACATGTAGGAAACGCCCTGATATGAAGGCTCCGGCCCAACGGAACGGCGAACGGCCGTCGTCAGGGCACGACGGAGAAAGCCTCGATGCTGGTGGGCTTCCAGGAGGTGCAGGTATGAGCTTTCGAGGTGCCATGTAGTATTCAGACAATGACGTGGATGATAACAGTTTTTTCCTGTAAACATAAACTTTTTGTCATGACAAACCATAGCAGAACAAGCCTAAGAGGTCGTCGCATAGCCCAGGTTTGGACGGCAACCTGTCTCCATCAAGCGGAGGCCTATAGAATTTACTTCCAGGCCTTCATGTGTATCTTGTTGGATGCAACCCGGCTATAAGAACCATGCCAAGGCAAGTGCTACTAACAGTTATTACAATCACCATTCCCAAACTGAAAACCACAATGGTATCAAATTCATCTGTCCAAGTGTGAAAAATGAGTAACCAACCGTCATCAGAACCATCATTAATCATAACCACACTCACAGCCATAGTGCTACCAGGCAACCGACCTGAGACTGTTGTCGCCTGAGGCTGAATGGCTAGATTACATAGGGCCTTACGGTTCCCAGAATTAAAGTATAATTCCCGGCTATACGTGTAGTAGAACCCTAAACCCTAGAGACATGTCCGTGGTCCCGGCGCACCGCCGTGGCCTCCTTGCCCCACGGCTTCTCGGCGGCACCTGTGCAGATCCAGTGATGCGATGCTTAATTTTGGTGTTATTTTTGAGGGCGCAGTTGTGATTGGGAGCTGCTCTGATAACCTTTGTGGTGGTTCTGACGGGGCTTAGAGTCATTACGATTCTGGATATGGTCACCATGCATATATGCTTCTTCTTGTTCCGACCTCGGACCCTTGGTTCAAACACACGCACTCGCACGGTTTGGGGATTTTTGACGCTCACACTCGGCAGAACCAGGCGAAGTCTGTAGAGATACTGAGGTTCGAAAGGCTCGTGAGGGCTATAAGACGTTTGGGGACTAGGGTTTCAGTCTTTCAAAGGGAAAAAGGAGGGACCCCTAATAAGGACCCCTAGGTATATACCCATAATATAGCTATATTATATACCCATTATATAGCCCATTATAGGGTAGGGGTCCCCATTAAGGGTCCCTCCTTTTCCCCTTTGAGTCTTGTCGTCCGGGTGCTTGCATCTCCCTGGTCTCAGCCCATGCCAGAGGCAAGTGTAAGCGTGCATCCACGACAGGTGTATCTACAGTAATGGAAGCCTGAAGAATTTGCAAATGTTGCTTTGCATGCTTCATAATGATGCTATAGTACACTCCCCAACCCCTATTCTAGTGGCTGAGGCCCCTGTATTACAAGCCTTCGGCAAAGCTTCGCAAATCGACGCTTCCCAGAATCCCCAGGCCTCAAATAATCAAACTGCCTATAATCAATTCCTGGACAGCTTTTGCCACAGAATCTTGAACTCAATATTCACAGCCGGTACAACTTCCCGCGCTTTCAGAAGCCTCAGAGCACCGAAACCGCCACTCCGGGGAGCTACGGGAGTGCCTGAAAGGCTCCCGGGTCTCGAAATCGCCGTGACCCTGCGTCCAGCCGAGCGCAGCTCTGAAAGCGCCGATGCCAGGGAGACCCGCCTTGGGAGTGGGTTGCTTTCTCCTTATTATAGAGCCCTATAGTACCCTTCAAGGGAACGCTATTATAGAGCCCTAAAGTGCCTCCATGGGTAACCTCTTGTAATGTCACACCTCTGTGGGTAACCTGATCTCTAGCCTAGGCAACTAAACTTTGCGTTTGTAGGCTGTGAAGGAGCGGCCATAAACCTCCGAGGCCGTCTACAATGCAATGCCCTGTAATTACGCAAGTCTGCCTCTCGTTCCTGCCTGTCTGTGTAAGTTTATGATATATGTGTATATATACACAAATGTATGCATCAGCGTGTTTGTGTGTACCGGTGTGTGCATGCGTTTTTGCATGCATGCAAGTATACAGGTGGTCCACTTCTCGGGCTTTTCTTCTTTTTGGCGTCTGTCCTCCGGGCTGGCTGGCACCAGGCTAACTTGGCACGCACGCCAAAGTGGCTGAGCCATGGGCAGCGGCGGGGGTTTCAGCATCTAGTCTTTTTTCGGGTTTCGGTCTGTTTGCAACCAACAGGGTTAGACAAAACGCAGCTCCATATGGAGTACTTAGAAGGGCCTATGAGGGCCTAACTTCTTCCGTCACACAGAAAACAGAAAACTGCCTGCTCCCCCGCCAGCCCTGATTCCAACTCCCGAGCCTCCTTCCAAGCGGGCGTTGGACTTGGAATCTTCAGAGCTCTCGTGCGCTGCCCCTATGAAGAGCTGTACAAGCGCTATGGACTCTCTACCAGAGCTTCACGCAGTAGGCTTTGGCGATGAAAACTGATTTTGCCGTTCAGAGAGCGCAGAGATCGAGCGAGAAATGTTCTAGCCCAGGCCACGCGCCATCTTGCCTTAGCTGGGCAAGAGCTTAAGGCTTGAAGGGTTTCGACTCAGACGCTCGCACTCGGCTGGCATGGCTTCTGGTCTCTATACCGGAGCAACACAAGGACTCATCAATGACATCCACGTTGCCCCACCTCCCGACCACCCCGACCAACACCACCAGGGCGAAAGCGACGAGACGGCGGTGACGACGACGACAAGCGGAGACTACTAGCAAGCTTGAAACCCTGGAAGAAGTCACTAGTCACGAAACCCCAGCACAAGCCAGAAATGCAGTCACGGGTAGCAAGAACCTCAACGGGCGGGTCTTGGTAGCGGATCAAACCCTATAAATCCCTTTTAGAATCCGTTTATCATCAGGGCTCCTATATTACATCGGGTCGGAGTCATGTCCGGGCCACGCATCGCTGCGTCACGGCGATTGTGGTTCGCGACCTGCGCCTCCATGCTCTCAAAGGGTTGACTTGAATTGAAAGGATCGGGAGTCCAGGCTCAGGATGTGGGAGTCCGAGTTTATAGGGTATTATAGGGTCAAAAAGCAGCTTAGGGTTTAGTTGATCAGGGGTTTCAGCACTCACAGTTGATCAGGGGTTTAGGGTTGCAGGAATAGGGGGTGAACCTCGCGAAGGTCAGGCGGGCATGGAGGGCTTAGCTCAGGGTCTCAACCCAAAGCCCTTCCCTCCCTTTCGAAGTCTGCAGCGGTCGTATCGTATAGTCTAGTATATATAGTATGTAATTATAGTACATAGTATAGTTTAGGTTATTGTAATAAAGAATGGCATATCATTGTGCAAGATGCTGCCCGGCCCGATGTGAAAGATCCAGGCTCCTGAGTTGGCCTCCGGGAAACCCGAAAAGATGAGATAAGCGTAAACCCTTAAAGGGTTTTCATAGGGTTTTAGATAGGGCCCCCTGTTAAGGGGTGTACCTTAGGGCTTCACAATAGGGATCCCTTTAAGTGGCCATAAACCCTAGAGACAAAGCCTCCTCCCTTTCCCGGCGCCGGCCTTGTTAGTCTCTTTCCGCCGGGCCGCAAACGTTTGGCCCTGGACCTTGTCCAACCCTGCTCTTACAGAAGTTCGTAAACTCGGCTCGTGTTCAAGGCTGCTCATTGCCCCCTCACACAATTATTACCGACGAGTTAGCACTGATTATCAACCGTCAGCGATCCATTGCACGATCACATCGTAGGAGTAGCGTTGGATATGGCACCAGGCACCAACCGGATATGAGAGAAGGGTCAGGGCACAGGAGGAGGAGGCGGAGGAGGGCAGGGGCTTAGATCCAAGGCTCGAAGCTAAGCTCGAAGCGCGAGTAATCGGCAAAGCCCTGCTCTTCGAGTTCTGAAGCCCCAAAGTCCGAAGATTCTCAAGACCCAGACCTTCCAAATCTGATAAAACAAATCCCGAAAAGCTCTAAACTCTGAAGCTCATGGCTGCCATGATGCTGGCTGCGAGCTCTTGCCTTTCCCTTTACCTTTGACACGGCCGCCCCGCATCCTTCGATCCAGACGCGCGTGGCTGCAGTGAAGTGCTTGCCACGCAATGTACAGCTTTGCCTATGAGTCTGCGCAGCAGCTAGCTTCGTAAATGCCCGCTTTCCAAAGACCCAGGAGTCTGCAACTGCAACTTGGGGAGGAGGGCTGCTGATAGCTGGGCTGCGTGCAAACCTGGATCTAAACCAGTCTTCGTCCATAACGCACTTTAGCATGAAGGCATGACGGGAGCGCTGGCATGCAAATGCCATGATGAACATGGGCCATGAACCAGTCCGGATTTCCATAGAGACTATGACCTGTTGTCTCGTACCGCCTCGGATGTTCTCTTGGGCAGCAGCAACAACAGGCAACAACAAGAACGGCCAGAAACAGAAACACTCAACCAACATTACTGGCTCGGCCCACGCATCGAAGAGAATGCCGTGCCAGGACTTCTTCGAACTCTAAGCTTCTAAACATCTCCCTGGTGGCCTGTTGTTGCTCCACTGTGGTTGGCCGTCATCGTCGCTGCTATCAGGCTCCTCGTCGGACTTGGTGTCCTTCGTTGTGTGGTAGAGGAAACAAATACATACGTACATGTACAGGGGTGTGGATGTGTGTATGTACATATATATATGTATATGTATATGTATATGTATGTATATCACCTGTATATCGTATGCACCAACACAGCCATATATGAATATATATATATATATATATATATATACACATACACGCACACACACATACATATACAACCGTATACATATACATATGCATAGTATACATATATACACTTATATTATGTTCTGATATGCGTACACAAAGTGTGTTTATCTGCGCCACCCTGACTGAGACAAACAGAACGCAACATCGAAACAAAGCACAGGGTCTCAACAACTAGAACAGTGCCTTGGTGTAGTTCCGAAAAATACAACCATAAGTAAGAGTCCAAGGAACAGTATTAGTAAGCACTCATCCGTCTATGTGCTTGGACATCTGTCGGTTGATAAAGCATGTTGCCGAAATTGTTAGGTTCGAGCGAGGCTAGAACTTATCTCAGACTGCAGCGCTGAGCCACTCAAACCAGAAAGGAGTGCTCTTCTTACCGGGATCTATAAAGCTTCTACAAAGGCTCGGTCAGGGATCTTAAGGGTTGTATGAGGGTCCTTTGCTAGGGTTTCGATTCCGCAAAGCTCGAAATCTCTGTTCCTATCCCAGCTCCCTAAACCCTAAACCTTATATCCCTTCCCACACTTTACAAACATAACCCTAAACCTTAAATCCCCAAACCTCACATGCTTCGACGACCGGGAGTCTTCCCAATCTGAGGCGACCCCCGCTGCAAGCCGAGGCATCCCCACGGCCTCGCAGGGCTTGGGTTGTCGGGGTTTAGGGGTTAGGGTCCAGGGATTCAGGGATTCAGGGATTTAGGGTTAGGGTTCAGGGATTTAGGGATTTAGGGGTTAGGGTTCAGGAGTTAGGGATTTAGGGGTTAGGGTTCAGGGATTTAGGGTTCAGGTTGAGGCGGGTTGGTTCAACCGTTTAGTACTTACACTCGGACAAGTCTTGGCAATGTGGAACCCGGATAAATCCCGGCAGGCCCCCCTAAACCCTACAGCACATTTGTACGAACCTTAAAGGAGCCCTTAAAGGAAGCCTTACGCGAACCCTGAACTCTAAACAAACGGGGCCTTAAACCGGGATTGACGAGGGAGTCGAGTAGCATGAACAAGCTCGAAACCACTTGGTCAGTTGCATATCTACCCTACTTCTGTAGATCCTGTACTCGTAAATACATGTACATGACACATGCAATCATACATGTATATACGATGTTTGTATATATATATATATATATATACACCTGTGCCTATGTATATATGCATAGCCATACACATGTACATGTACATGTTCGTTCTGAGGTATGGAGCGAGAAAGATGCGGGATAGAGAGAGAGGTAGGGTTGATACATCGTTCCTGGCAGCCTGTGGTTTCTCAAATGAACACATCCTAAGGGCATTTCATACACAGCGCAGAGAACCGGATGGCTGTCTTTGATCTCAGTCATCGTGATCACCACAACCTCACCAGCCGCCTCTTCATCGTCGTAGTCGTCGTTGTACTTCTCCTTTCATGACAAAGCGAGAAGCAGGTTTTTTCTCACGAAGGGCAGCAAGAGTGATTTCATGCAGCACTGCCGGAAAACGAAACTCTGGGCATCCCCATGTCCCCCAGATGCAAACGACGCAGATCCTGACTTAGTCTTCTTCTCAAAACCCCCAACCCGAATGAAGCAACAAATCCCGAACGCTGAACCCCAAACACTGAGCCCTAACCCGCAAGGTCGCACCTCAGCCTCGCTCTCTCTGTCCGGCTGGTGGTCCTGGCGATCAGCCTGCTGACAAAAACTTTCGGAAGTGTCCGACCCCCAAGACGTGAAGCGGCAGTAGCAGGAGGAGCAGAAAGAGCAGGGGCAGGAGTCGCAGCAGTCGTCGCCGTAGCAGCAGCAGCAGCAATAGTGGCAGCAGTACTTGCACGCTGCCGTCACGAGCGAGAAAGATCACAACATGTCGGGTCAGCTACTGTAGTACAACCCAAGAAGACTGCGGCCTTTCCCTCGTATCCTACGCCCCGACAGCTCCAAGGACTCCAAGTCGTGCTCAGGAGACGGCCTGGCCCAAGACGCGCT